CATATTTATTTTACTATTGATTGATATTAATTTTATAGATTGTTTATTACTCCTAATGATAGACCATTGATCATTTGATATTGACTCGGACTAGAGCAAGTATATTGATTCTTTTACCTTATATTGAATGCAATAATAATTTTTGATTACTTATTGGGATATGTGCTCATTACATTATTTTTTATATGATTTCAGGTTAAGGTAAGAAGCCTGCAAATCAAGGTTAGATAGTGATGATAGTTTAGTTTTAATTGCAACATTTTAGTTTTATTTATATTCTTTTATAGTCTGATATGGCTATGCATATATTATTTTGGACTTCGGATTTTAATAAGGATGTAAATACTAAATGTGGTAATGCAATTATATTTTTTTTGTTATTTATATTTATTTTTCCTAAATAAAATTTGTTAGCCCTTATTGTCAATGATATGCTTATTAATGAATTGAAAAACAAAAAAACAAAGAGAAAAGGAAATGAAATTCTTCTATTTTAGGTCTTAGGGTGTCACAATGTGGCTATTCCACTTTGAGTAATTAGAGGGACATTAATTTTTAATGTGTAATGGGAAATACAAAAAGGAGATGTCAATGGAAACAAAGTTAGTTCTCTCATGAATTCGTTGTAAGCATGTACATTATGGTCAATTATACCCTTTTATAACATGAATAATATAATGTATTGAGTAATATTGGTATATATTATGGTACTTGCTATAGGTTTCAATGTTTTGAGGTATTTAGATTGTGGGCGGTGTTGTCAAGATCATCAAATGTGGTGCATTCATCACAACAATCATGGCAATTGGATGATTGTGAATGGGAGATGTGTTGTTTGATCTTTAAGTGGCAGTGGGTAAGCTGGTAATTTGTGTTGGTGGTTGATATGGTCACTATAATCAAACACAATACATCCAATGTAATTATTATAAATTGTAATTCTAGAATGGCCACAAAAGGTTTCTAAAATAGTAAAGTCTTCATTTGTTGCCCATGGCTCCTATTTCACTATTCTTCTGGGTATTGCCTAAAGTTGATCAAATGCTTATAAATATAATAAATCCTCGAACATTTATCCATATTAAAAAATGAGATGAACTTAATCTACACAAAAATCATGCCAAATTATAGTTTAAGATAGAAATAGAGAATGTCAATATGGGAGAGATTTGTAATTATCTTATTTATTTCTAATGGAATACTTCTCCCATCGCATTATAATGAATGCAACTTACCGATTAAGCCAATTAAAATATTATGTGGGTTGTCTCCTCTCTTCCTCTTTATTTTACTCACTTCTAATTTCCCTCCAATGGTCGACAATTTTCTCCATTAGGAAGTAACATGACTTGAACACTCAATCTCTCTGCCACTTGCTCTAAACTAAACTCTCCCACTTTTTGATCCTCTTTACAATTGAGGCCTAAACTCTCTCATTCATTGATTCTCTTTGACCAATTTTGATTGTTCTCATTAATTAAATTATAATAAACTAATTAGAATATCCCACTCTTGACTAAACCAAATCGCTCTAAAACCACTTAAAACTATCTAAGAAACACAAGAAAACCACCCTAATTTACATAATATCACATTTCTATAAAGTGACTAAGATAGAGAGAGTTTGTGAAGGAAAGGACATGCATATATTCAGAAGATGAAAAACTACATTGAATGAAGTTTTAGAACAAAGAATTTCATTAAGAACATTAGGAGTAATGTAAAAACTAGTCTTCTTTCTTGTTTGTATAAAAAACCAATAACCAAACTTTTTTTTTTGCATTGATAGAGTATCATTCTAGTAGTCCTTGATCCTGTGAATCAAATTTTATTAATGGCGAGCCTTGATGGCTAAAGAACCATTATGGAGGGCTGTAAAAGTCCATAATGTTTTCCTAAAATCCTAATCTTAGTTCTATGAATATGAGAAACAATAATTGATGGATCTAATGCAATTTGATTCAAAGACCATAATCATATATGATGATGGTATTTAATAAAATGGATACGATCATCATTTTTGGATTTCTCATGCGATGATATCATGATTGTTTAATCTTTCTGAAATGATCCAAAACTCTTTCCAATCTTTTAAATAACATGCGCTAATCATTAGTAGTGATTGGGCCATACCATTCATTTATAGTGATTCACTCGTACTAATCATGAATAATGATTGGCCCCATAACTTTCAAGCTATGATAACCCTCTCTTAATCATTCGTAATGATTAATTGTTGATCTTAGCCCTTTGATTGATAATAAATAGTTATGTATGATTTTCTTGTAAATGATTTAATGTTCATATAAACTTGGTAAATTCATTTAAATTTATGGAAATCATATATTTTAAATAATAAATTAGAAAATGAATCAAATTGCAATATTTTTTTAAGAGAAAGTCTCTATCAAGCTCTAAAATAAATTTCTAATTGAAATGATTAAATGTTTTTTTTTTCATATTTTTTAATTCTTAGTATATTGTTAAATTAAGTTTTATAAATTTATAAATTCCTACAAATAGATAAAGTTTATTGTAATTCATTTTATGATGTATCTAAGGGAATTTTTTAATAATTTATCTAATTTAGTATTTTTAGGTCAATTGAATAGACTTAAGAAAATTAATAATCACACATAGTAATGAGTTATTTAATATTGGCAATGTTGCTTTAGGCGGTTTATATTAGATCTTAGGTGAACAATGCACACCTATCACCCTTAACTGTACACTTCTGATTGTGCATAATACTTTGTAAAATGATATTTAGAAGTAAAATATGTGATTTAACACTTTGCACTTATGACATATATACATATAAATAATATCTTTGTGATGTTTAATGAGTTGCACACACTATACTAGTACATCCATGACACCCATGATGTGCGCATGTTGTATTTACATCCATGAAATGTGATGGTGCACATATGAGCACACACACACAATCATGACACTCTATAATGAACACATAATATATTATTCCAAAATCCACATTCATGATACATTATGATCACATATTTTCACATGTATGCCATCATACGACTTACTCATATATTACTATAATATGTAATTCTTTTGATGGAAGAAATTGATTCAATGGAAATTCAACCTAAAATGATCTAATTTTTAAAATATGTTTTGATCATCGTATGAAACCACACTTTATATCAACTTTAAAATCAATTGAAGCATGTATGTTATATCCTAGATGAGTAAAAATGGCTTCCAAAGGCTAAAAGTAGAATATGATATACCAATGTAGACTAAGGTTTTATTTGTGACGTCTTTCTTGATGCTTCTTAAAGCAGATTTCTTATATAAAAATTTGAATATTTATACTAAAAAGCTACTTTAAGAAACAATAAGAAAGCCGTCCCAAACAAAACCTAAGGCTACGTTTGTGACAGCTTTCTTACTGCTTCTTAAAGCAGCTTTTTAGTAGAAATATTTTAATTTTTGTACTAAAAAGCTAATTTAAGGAGTAAGAAAGTCATCTTAAACGAAGCCAAATTGCTATAAGACTAGATGTTAGAGTTGTTAGGAAAAAGCTTTGCCAATGCACAACATTACATGATATAGAGTCAACATATAGTGATATAGATAACAAAATTAAAATCATTGTATCAATACATTTATTATTGCATTTAGGGTCATCTTATTGACTTGGATAATATATTAAGATATATTGGGACAATCAACTTTATTTATAAAATTGTAAAGCCTACACCAAGAGATCTTTGTTATGTAAACCTTGATTTATCAAGGTGAATACATAGCCTATTTATTAAGTACATAGTCAAGGTAGGTCTCAATAGTCATAGTAGAGAATGGTAGGGGTCAATTCGAGCTTATTGATCAAGTTTCAATTTGACACAAAAAGTGCTAACACAAATATAATCAATAAAAATGACCCATATTATAAATTTGGTAAAAATATTTCAAATTTAACCCAACTCAAACAAACTAAAATCAAGTTCAACACAATGTAAAAGGTATTTAAGTTATGGTTGATTAGTGTCAACTTAATAAGAAATGAATATGCATGATTATCTGATTTGAGTATGACAACTTATAAAAAAGAAAAAAATATTTACTTTCATATACTTTTTCACTAAAAAATATAATCAATTAATTAATCATTATTTTTGGAATGGCCCTAAACAAGGCGTGACACAACTTGAAATTGGCCATTTTTTTTAACTTAAGCTGCCCTAAATCTTTAAAAAACATTACACTTGTTGACTCAATATAAATTTTTCTACTTGAGCCTGTGTAAATTTTTATGTCAGGTCCAATATTGACGTCTATTAATACGTCATCATAGGATATACACATCTACTAATGAGTTTAAGTCAGTTAGTGTCAACCTGCAGGGAGCGAGCTGCCTGGTGCGATGGTTGATGGAAGTAGGTTCCTCCCACGCCACTAATGCTCGAGTCCCATTCCTTGCCCCCAAAAAAGTTAGTGTTAACCTATCCTAAAATGATCATGGTAATTCAATATGAATAAGAAAATAAGGAAAAAAAAAATAATTTCATGAGTTTTTCATTAAAAAGTAATCAAATAGTCATGTCATTATTTTTGGTTGACCTAAATAAGGCCTATCAAAACTCAAACTCAACCCTTTTTTTATTCACTGAAGATGTCCTGAATCCCACAAAAAATTATCTGGGTTGACTTAAACTCAAAATTTTCGTATTGAGTTTGAGTCTCATAGACGTGTAATAATATAAATTATTTAATATTTATTTCATTTATATAATTATTATAATTTTTTTTATTTTAAAATATAATATTATAGTATATCATTAAATGATTAATTATGTTCTATATTTTTTTTTTGGGACATTTAGGTCATTTAAGGCAAATTCACACACACAACACATACACATGGACTCGAACTTTGGACCTCTTAGTTGGAAGCCTAAGCTTTCAACCAATAAGCAAGGGGAGTTGTGTTATGTTCTATATTTTCATTAATGGCATTTTGTATCAGTACGGTGCAGCATAATATTTTACCCATAAAGTGATAAAGGTACTTTTGTCCTCCACTCAGGAGGCTGCCGTGTTCGAGCATGAGCCTTACCCTCCGGCACGGCCTCGTCATTCATAGCCCTAGTTCACGCCAGTCTCCCCGATCTTTGCCTTCCGGCAATGGCGATCTACCTGGGATCACCAAACTACTTTCTCTCTATCCACCGCAGTTCGGACATCATCGCCGGTACTCCGATCTCACAACGCCGTTGCAGGTTTTTGCTACTACGGGGTGTGAGGACGCCGAACGTCGTCAGGATCGCCGCCGAGCGGCGTGCAATCGAAGGCGTGAGTGAAGAGCTCAACGCGGTGGCGTCTCAGAGCCTTGATACTGTCGCCGCCCGGCGACGAGTCCGCGCGGCATTCCTCAACGCGCAGGAGCGGCTTGATCACTTTCTCTTCAAGGTTCCCATTTACTTGTTTGCACAGCTTTGATGATGGGATCGAAATTTGAGTTTTTTTTTCTTAAACTTATTTTTAATGAATGATGTACATATAAGATATAACATTTACTAAATGTTTTTGCAGGCTGCTCCGTCCGGTATACTGATGGAGGAGGTTCGTAGAATCAATTATAATTATATAATATTTTCGTATGTCCACAATATTTTTTGCAGCGTAGGATAAAAATTTGGTATATTCCTAGAGTCGTTTACGTTTTATTGACTTCATTTTGCTTACAGTTTTCCTGCGATGAAAGGTCTTTAAAATTATTTATGCTGCGGGCGTGACATGTTAGTTTTGCTTAAACATCATACAGTCAAACAATAGACATTTTTTATAGCTTTCAAGACTATCTAGTAAGGGGAGATACTACCATCGCTCATTTTTATAAAGCACTATGGGGCTATTTTGCTGCAAGTTGGATTTAAGTTAAGTAGGATTTAGTAAAACCTGCAAATCCGGATTCATCAAATCCTGTGGCTGTTAAATTCTGAAAATTGTTTGGCATGATACTTGTTAAATCCTGATATGTCTTTACAATCTGTTTGGCTGCGCACTTCAGGATTTATGACGGTTAACTTCAGAATTTATACATGAAGCTATGCAAAATGCACGCATGAGAACCGACCGAGTAAAAAAAAAGTGAACAGTACATATCAAATATGTTTTTGTATTTTCAAGTAATTGTGATAAATTCTTCAAGACACATTTAATTTTAGTGAATCGACATACAATAGAAATGAAAAAAGAATTATAGAAGTATATTATCCCATAACTTCGTGGAACAAAACACATGCTATGATATTGCTGAATTAAAAAGGCAAACCTCTAGAAACAACAGTTCTCATATCAAAATATAAATTAAAACCCAACAAAATTTACTATAGCAAAACGAGGATAGTTCGTAAGAGTACATAGAAGACAATATGCTTTAAAGTTAATAAAATACCGAAACATATATTGTCGAAATATAAGTATACATGAATATTTCATTTGTGCTTTATAATAAGAGCGATATACTATAACTAGTAGTTGAGAGCTATCTTATCATGTTGAGCGTCATCATCGTCTCAATATATGAAATTAGAAGATGAAAAGATTATTGGATTATTCTTTTAAATTTAATTGAAAATTTCCTAACTAAATCAACATTCCTACTTGGTTTGCCCACAAATATGTCGCGAGTGCTTGCTTGACCGCTCTTCTTTGAGTTCTTTCCCCTTTTGTTATATGTATGTTAGGATCTTTGTTGTTCACTTCTATCTCACCGATTTGAGTATCATGTTGATATATTGAAGTAGATATCATTTCCATGGTATTGATCAATAAAATTGTGCAACACTACATACACAAGCAAATGTGCATACTTATGATCATATTATTAGGTGTTTTGATAGGTAGCAACTAGGTCGTGATGAGGGCACCCCCTCTCAGGAGCATATTCTTCAAGGGAGGGACATGCGACCAGTAGAGAAACTCGCACAAAAAGAACAATGGGCATCACTCGTCCTATGCTGGGCAACCAAGAAGTTCCTCATAGATCGCCACTCATTTCAATCAAATGCTCCCCTTTGATCTCACCAGACTCAACTATAGAAAAGTCCCTACCTCAAAGACCCTACACTCTACTCAGCTACAATGTTAGGCTCCGACCTCAGATACACTAAGAACATGTGTATCATCAATTACATCAACTGCATTTTTGCAGTAAGAATGACACTGCCCATTGGAATGTAGGAAAGGATGACAGTTTGCTTCAGTTGGTGGCACATTGTTGAACTCTTTTGGCAATGACAAAATGACACGTAATACTTGACTAAAATATCTACTAATTATTTCCATTGAATGCTAGAATCATTTGTACAGTTGTTTGTAGTTATGAGCATGAGCAACCCCCCAAGAAATATGTTTAGTTGTTTTACTATGATCATATTTTTCATATTATTCAAGCCATCTATGAGATACTAAGCAATCTTTTAAACGCACAACAGCCTCTTCCGGCAGTCTGAAGCATTGATAAGTTCTTGCCGGATGACCTGCCAACACATCTTCGATGGATTTATGATCTGTATTATTTGATCTTTGAATGCACAAATGTTCATTGGAAGAACTACTTTTGTCTATAATGGAGGGAGTTATTTATGCAATCACGTCATTTATTGATGTCTTTCCACCATGTTACATAGTCATAGGGAACTACCTTTGTAAATCATTCACCATGACTTCATGAAGGGTTACAAAATAGATTTAGTTGGTGTGTCATGTTTGATGGCAATACCACTTAGAGACAATAACATATATTATACAAAATAGGTAGTCTAAATCACTATTTTAAGCAATTTTGTTTACAAATGCCTCAAGGCGCACGCCTCCAGGCAGGATAACGAAGCGTACACCTCAAATTGCTTGAGGAGCACCTCGCCTCTTTAGCTTTAGATGCATGACTCAAGCAAATTATTATTTTTTAAAAATCAATTGCTATTTAAAGTTCTTAATTTCTTATTAAACCAAAATAATAGTCTGTCATATGGCTTCCTCACACGTGACTGAAGTTTCGAACAAAAAGAATGAAACTCCTATGTTCCTCTGCCGCCAGCTCTATTCACCCATCGACGACAAACTCCAGGTCGCCTGACACTACCACCACCTTCTTCTCTCCTTAGTCAGTGCATTAAAGCTACAATTTGGTGATGACACTCTAGAATTACACTATTTTACTGTCAAGGTTTTGACATTAATATGTTTTTCTTATATGAACGCAATTGGAGCACGTATAATCAAGTGCACATAACAACAACATCAAGCCTTTGTCCCACTACATGAATCCTTTTTCGCCATTGTGTCCGGTTAAAAGTCAAATTCTCATTTAAATCTAATAAAGAAATATCATTTCTAATATTTTTTTAACCTAAGTCTTTTTAGGTCAACCTCTACCTTTCTTAACACAAGTCAAATCTAAAACTTCAACTTTCCTAACCGGGTTATCGGAAGGCTTCCGTTTAATGTGACCAAACCATCGAAGGCGACTCTTTCTAATCTTATCTTCCACTGGAGCTAATCTAACCTTTTCACGTATATGCTCATTTTGTATCCTATCTCTAATGGTAAGACCACTCATCCACCTAAGCATCCTCATCTCTGTAACACTTAACTTAGTATTATGCTTCTCTTTTAATGGTCAACATTTGACATCATAAAGCATTGCAGGTTTCACCACCATCTTATAGAATTTTCCCTCAAATTTGAGGGGGACTTTTCTATCGCACAACAAGCCCGATGCATTCCTCCACTTTAACCATCCAACTTGAATTCTGCTGATAATATCCCCATTTGTTTCACCATCACTCTGAACAATAGATCCAAGATATCTAAAATATGTACTCTTATTAATGACTTGATCACCCAAAGTTATAATCCCATCACTAGTTCTATTGCTACTAAAATTACGCTCCATATATTCAGTTTTAGATCTATTCAAGCGACAACCTTTGGACTCTAAGGTTGACCTCCATAATTCAAGTGCACATGAAGAGGAAAAATCATCTAACAATCCTAAGGACAAATTCTTTAATGTATATCGTGTATAATAAGAGATTAAATGCAAAAACTTGAATTGAAGTGGTTGAAGGCTGATGAGGATCTTTCACTTTGTGAAGATATGACATTAGATGATCAGAAATTAGTAGATGATGAACTAGATATAACACCATCTGAATTATAAGACGAAGATTTGAACAATGATTTTTTTTTTTTTTACGGTGATGAAAGCAAAGCATCTGTATTCACTGTAAGCCATATATAAAAAGAATTAAAAATAAGATATATAAAAACAAAATTTAAATTTTCTTGAGCTTTTTTAATTTGAAGTATTACTCTTATCTTTATGTTAATGGCAAATGTCTGGAAAAGAGGAAGATGACTAAAATTGATGAAGAAGAAGCAAATTGAGAGACAAACTCCATAGGTGTCAGATAGGGGTGAAATATGATGCTCATATGAAGACCCCCTCAATGATGACAATATATATGAATTTTGAATTATTGTCTTACTATTATTGTTTTCCGTAAAAATTAAATGTGGACGAGTGGGGAACTGAGAAAGATGGAACTTGGAGTTGAATTTGATGTTATATGATACTTTTATGTAATTCTTATATTTTATGTTATTTTGTTATTGTGATGTTTACATTTTCAATTTCACGAAATTTATTATTTTCCACTTTAAGTCTTGTGCAATTTTTGATTTCATATATATGACAATTTGTTGATGTATAGTTCAATAGAATGTTATTATATCATTCTTTAATATATTATTCGATTATTATACAAAAAATCACTTCTAATATTTATTTTCATTTTACTCAATTTTTGAATTTTGAGGCTTACGCTTCAAAATGCCTTGGGGCTTACACTTTGCTTCATGAACGAAGAACACCTAAATACCTAATTATGCTATTTTAAATTGTGGTTTAAATGAATTATGCTCAACATCGATTATTAGTTTTGGACTTTAAGATAAAGAGACATAAAATAAAAAAATAAAGTAAAACGTTGTTCTATGATTAGATGGGGGTATTTAAAAAATATTAACAAAAATATTTTTGAGAGTAAGATACTAGATCTTAAGATTTTGTTTATTTATGAGGAAGCTAATGTTATGTGGGAAAAAGTAGCCAGTGATATTAAGAATATTGCAAAAAGATATGGTTGGAGTATCAAAGAGAAAGTCTCATAATAGCAAAAATAGTTGATGGTGGAATCAAAATGTGCAAGAAAATATAAAAAATAAGAATATTTGTTATAAAAATTAGTTTAGATATAAACATTTTGATAATTGGAAAAGTCATAAAGAAGCCCGTAAGGAGTCTAAGAAAGCAATATATGATGCAAATAATTTAACTTTTAATGATTTATATAATAAATTATATATTAAGGAGGGTGAAAGATATATGTATAAGTTAGCCAAACAAAGAGATAAGAGTAGTAAGGATTTAGTTCAAGTGAAGTGTACTGAGGATGAAGATCAAAAAATGCTTTTATTAGAAGATGATGCTCAACAAATGTAAATGAGATATTTTTATAAACTCTTCAATCAAGATTATGAGAATGCGATTGACCTTAGTGACCTTATCACCCTAAATGAAAAAAAAAAGATTTTTTTTTATCAGCGTATTAGTAAAACTGAAGTTAGAGAGGCAGTGTAGAAAAACAATTGGACTTGATGATATTTCAATATAGGTGTGAAAATGTTTAGGAGATGAAATAATTTCTTGGCTTATTAAACTTTTTAATATTATTTTGAAGTCTAAAAAAATACCAGATGATTGGAGAATTAGTGTGTTGATTCTTATTTTTAAGAATAAAGGTGATGCATAAGGTTGTGCGAATTATAGACGAATTAAGTTAATGTGTGTCATACTTTAAAACTATGGAGAAAGTTGTGGAGCATAGGTTGTGGCGTGATACTAATGTTTCTCAAAATCAAATTGGATTCATGCCGGTAGGTCTGCTATGGAAGCTATACATTTATTGAGAGGTTTGATGGAGAAGTATAGAGAGAATTAGGAGTATCCACATATGATATTTATTGATTTAGAGAAAGCATATGATAAAGTTCCAAGAGAAGTGCTATGGAGAGTTCTAGAAAAGAAAGGGATTAATAATGCTTATATTCAAATCATTAAGGATATGTATGCAGCAGCTGTTACTTGTGTTCAGACACAAGGTGGTTTGACAAAGTATTTTCCTATTTCAGCTGGATTACATCAAGGATCAGCCTTAAGCCCATATCTTTTTGCTTTAGTCATGGATGTTCTCGCTAAACATTTGTAAGAGGTTGTATCCTAGTTTATGCTTTTTGTTGATAATATTATTCTTGTTGATAAGATTACAGAGATAGTTGAAGGTAAATTTGAATTATGGAGGTCAACCTTTGAATCTAAAAGTTTTCGTTTGAGTAGATCTAAAACTGAATGTATGTAGTGTAATTTTAGTAATAATAGTTTTAGAGGGGGGATTGTTATTTTGGCTAATCAAGTCATTAATGCCAGTACACGTTTTAGATATCTTGGGTCTATTGTTCAGGTTGATGATGAAATAGATGGGGATATTATTAATAGAATTCAAGTTGGATGGTTGAAATGGAGGAATGCATTAGGCTTGTTGTGTGATAGAAAAGCCCCCTCCAACTTAAGGGAAAATTCTATAAGATGGTGGTTAGACTTGCAATATTTATGTTGTAGAATGTTGGCCATAGAAGCATAATATTAAGTTAAGTGTTGCAGAGATGATGATGATTAGGTGGATGAGTGGCTTTACTCTTAGAGACAGGATACGAAATGAGCATATACATGAAAAGGTTGGAGTAGCTCCAGTGGAAGATAAGATTAGAGAGAGTCACCTTAGATGGTTTGGTCACATAAAATGACGGCCTTCTGATGACCCGGTTAGGAAAGTAGATGTATTAAATTTGACTCGTGTTAAGAAAGATAAAGGTAAACCTAAACAGACTTTGTTAGAAAATATTAGAAATGACATTTCTTTATTAGATTTAAATGAGAATTTAACTTTTAACAGGGCACAATGGATAAAAAGGATTCATGTATAGTCGACCCCACATAGTGGGATAAGGGCTTGATGTTGTTGTTGTCGTCATCTAAATGAATTGTGCCGTATTTCTGGATGATTTCCAACCATGCACACCAAACAGAACATACTTTCATGTATCAATTTATTTCATTAATAACTTCCGTAATAGCACAAAAAGAGCTTACTAATAAATGTTATCAAAATTATTGGAAAGTTGCTATTATCCTTATGTATTGCCAATTTCCCAAAGGATTTCATTTAACTGCACATACAAACACGGTAATATGTCTTGAGTTTACTAGAACTACTTTTATGCAAGAGTTAAACGAAGACAAGAAATAACTTAAAAAAAAAAAAACCCTCACTGTTTCCCCTGTTTCACTATACCCCAAAGAGGTCTGCCTTCCAATCTTCATCAAACTCAAACCCAATGTAGAAAGCTATTGGCAGGTTTAGTTAAGTTTTATTTTCAAACTATTAGAGTCACGGGCCCCAAATAGTTGGGATAAAAATGATGACAATGGTTGCTATTTAAATAGATACTTCAAAGCTCAATTGTTTTGCAACATTTGGTTAATACAAAAGAAAACTGAAATTCAACACAGCTGAATTCACGTTGTGATGGTGCTAACTGGTGTCTTGAATTGAAACCCTGGCAATTACAAATACTTACAGACTGAATTTATGGTGTGCATATTTTCAAATTTATGAAAGATTTAACTAATTTTAGTTCTGAAAATGGATGGATGAAAAAGAAACCTTCTAGACATTAAAGGCAAGAGTCCCTGCGATAACTGCAGAGGCTAAACTGAATTGCTCCACCATGCTGCACTATACAGAGATACGAGAGGAACTCCAAGGGCTTGGAGGTTTTTTGGAAGAGCTGGCTTCCAAACCTTGGCATTGCCACCAAGGCTACCCTCTTTTTTTGCCATGGCTACGGTGACACCTGCACTTTCTTCTTTGAAGGTATCTCTCCTCTTATTCCATGTTCTCTGTGGATTGAACTAGGATTCTTTTGTGTTGTAGATCTGTTGATAGATTTATTGGATAATCTAATTTTGTAGCATTGTAAAAAAATAGGGATTGCAAAGAGGATAGCAGCAGCAGGATATGGAGTTTATGCCATGGATTATCCTGGCTTTGGTCTCTCAGAGGGTTTGCACGGCTACATCCCTAGCTTTGATGAGATGGTAGATCATGTCATTGAGCAGTATGCCCGTATTCGAGGTTAGTACTCCTTTTCTTTCTTCTTTAGGAATATGTGCTTTAATGCATTGTTTTCTTGAAGAGAGAAGGGAGGTTGCAGAGCTACAACACTTTCTCCTTGGTCAATCCATGGGTGGCGCAGTGGCTCTTAAGGTTCATCTAAAGCAGCCCAAAGAATGGGATGGCGTGTTGCTTGTTGCTCCCATGTGTAAGGTGTGGCTTTTGTCTCATCCATCTCCTTATCTTTGTAATGGTGGATGTTCCTATAACGACATTTGAATGAAGCTATTAGTTTCTCAATGATGCTTTTGTCTTTGGAATTATGATAATGTCACTTCTTGATTAGGCACCTATTTTTGCATGTGGCTTTTGAACATTTAAAGCTAAAAAATGGTCTTTTCAGAATGCTGATGGTTCATTAGTAGATAATTCGTTCCTCATTTTGCCTCGCTAACTTGTGCAATATGCCTAGGGATCTAAGATTTAATGTAACTATAATGATACAATAAATGTTTAGATCATGTAAAATAAATGGCTAAACTTTAAATACGAGAATTAAATCAAATGATAATGCAATGATTGATTAAGTTTGAGCTGATCAATAGGAGATTTGAACCATAAAAAATCAGTGAGCAATTACAGTTTTAGACCGTAATTAAAATTGTAGTTGTAACAAATTTGATCAAAATCAAGAATTTGCAATACAAATAACTAAAGAGCTAAGAATAAAAGATAAAAAAATGACATCAATGTTTAGGATTATTCAAAGTTTCCAAGAAAATTCAATTTCATCGGGATTGGGGGTGGTCACTGAAACAATGAAGTGAAAGCTATTATACCAACTTTACAAGAGGTCGCTATGCATATCAGCAAGAGAGGTGGAAAACCACAAAACTTGTGGTGTGTAACCGTAGAAATGGTTACCAAAATAGCGTTGTAGGCTTGATTGGAATCTGAAATCATGTGGGTAGCCCTCGGAAGTTGTCACTTGAAGTAGGCAAAGCTTATAGCAACTCACTTATCAAAAAGTTGCAACAAAACTTAATATATCATGTTCTTATAGGCATGTATCACATACCTGGCCAAAAAGATCTGTTGAATTTCTAGCTACCTTATCCAATGAAAGGGGAAAAAACAGATGTATTTTTATGTTCTACCACATTTGGTCTTTCCTTGAATGTATTTAACTATTTTGGCATTTTATTAGCTAAGGAGCTGACAACTATTGATCCCTAGATGGCATGCTAGCGGGCGTTACTCGCATATGCGCATGTGCTGATTACGAGACCTGCCTAGATGGCAAGTCCTGCAGGAAATCAGCTTTGATTGTTTGCGGATTTGGCTTGGAAGGAAGGCAGCTGGCATTCAATTATAGGATGACTGATTTCTAGGAATTCTATCAAGTATATTTAGTACTTTTTCATATTAAAATTGGTTGTAAATTTTAGATTTCCTGTTGTAGAACGGATATTGGCTAAAATAAGAATTATAATTTAAGAAACAAATTCAAATTCAAATTAATTTGAATTTTGAATTCGAATTCGTTACCAAATTAAGATGTATAAAATAGGAAGGTTTTGAATACAAGATGAAATTGTGGGAGCCAATGGGGTAAAGAAGGTGGCCGGCAGCTATGGAGGTATTAGGATTAGGGTTTGTGAGGGTGTTGGTGGTTTGGAGGTGGGGGGAAGATGGCCAGTTAGGCTTAGGAGGGGGATGGGGAATTTTGGTGGGAAAGAAGATAGGGTTGTGGGAAGAGGCTGACGGGTTTGGGTGGAGGGGGGGATGAAGCTGGCGGGATTGGAGAGAGGATGGAGATGACGATTAGGAAAGAAATGAGAAACAAAAATAAAGAAAATTGTGAGTCCGAACGCTTCCTGCGGCTGACGGGTGTTGCATTGACCTTCACCAAAGGACTTCAAGCCACGAGCCCAGACCCATCCTGCGGCTGATAGAAAATATGATTACCTCCCATAGGGATCTCACCTAAGTCCTCCTAAGGAACAAAAGTACAGAACAAAATTTTTATTAAAACTCCATCATACATTATACTAGCAAGGGCCTCTATATATATAGGCCTCAGAAATAAAAGAAACTAAAATAAGACGATCATGCTCTTAGAGTTTACATAAGATTAGATCCGTAAGTAAGGGTAAAAATGGAAAATACATAATTAAAATAAAAATTACTAATAAAAAAATAAGATAACGTAGGACGATTATGGCCGTCAATCTTCATCTCCTCGGATAGGCATGGACGGTTGGATGTCCGCATCATTTCCTTTCTTGCTAGGATGTGTTAATTTCTTCTATGTTTTTCTCCTGTGTAAACTATTATTTAAAATGCCAAATTTTGGCCAACTCGTGTGAGGAAAATTTTCACTGTGTTTCCTATTTTCTCGTCATTTACATCATTTTTAACATGGTATCAAAGCTGATTTCTAGCTAATCAAGATGGTCAACGACAAAAGGAAGTCTGTAATAGGGTCAAGCATACATGGAGATAAGATGGGCTCTTCTTCCTCACTAAAACACACCTTCAATTCAGGGGTTTCCATGGAACATTCAACATTTCAAATCACATCCTACAACTTTATGAGAGGAACTTCTAATAGTATTGAATGGTTCAAATGGTGATTCAAGGAAGAGAGAAGACTGGGTATTTGAGTAATTCTATTCATCAACTTGAAGTGGGAGATCCTTCTTTTCTAACATGGGACGCCAATAATGATTTAGTGATGTTTTGGCTTTTCAATTCAATGGAAGAATACATTGGGTCCTTAAACCTTGTTCACAACATCACACAAGCTGAATAAATCAGCATGACTTTTCAAGTCTTGAAAATTTTCATAATTTATGTAAATTATGAGATTGTGCGCACTATCTCTAGCAAGGAAGCATGAGCGGCACTAACCAGTCAATACACCCACAAAAAATTGGCAAGAATTGGAGATTCCTCGAAAGATTCCTTGGGATTCCTCCCTACCCAATATTGAAGAAGAATTCACCAAAATTTGAAGAGAAGAACAAACGAAGGATAACTCTTGGAGGTGCCAAAAACCCACTCCAAGATGAAGGGTCTGCCTTTGCCATCAAAAGTATAGAAAAAAACCTACGAAATGTCTCAAGGTGTGGTTAAAGAGGTAATTTTTTATGTGACGGCTGTAAAAAGAACAATCACACAAAAGAAAATTATTAGAAACTTCATGGCATGTCAGCAAATCAGAATAATGTCTCTCACATTGTAAATCAATACAATGAAGCTTATGCTTATCAAACCAAAGGCAAGGGTTTAAAGATGAAAACTATGTACAACCTTGGTGACATATTGATGGGGACATCGACAAGAGATTCCAACGCGTTTAGCAGAGGAAACATTGGAGATCGATGGTCATGATGGAGAGCCTTTACTTTTGATGCACTTTATGTATTATTTCTTTTTATATTTTAGTTTTTTTTCGATTTTACCCCTATGAGTAGTTAGTTTGCTATTGTAGCCCAAGGGGCATTCTAGTCTATTTTCTTTTGTCATGTTGAGACCTATATATATGGCCCCTTCTTATGTATTTGAATGATGATTGATTCAATAAAATTTTGAGTTTTCTTTGTCTCCCTAAATGTTGAGTGTTTGAGAGAAGAAGGAAGGCCCTAGGTGTGGGCAATCTCAATACCCGTCAATCTTTAGAAGGGTCTGAGGTTCGCGGCTCTATTTTGTTCTTCTCATCTTCTCCGACTTCTCCCCTCTCTCCCCCACACCGTCGACCTGCTCCACTTCCACCGCCCCTTATCTTTTCCCCTACCCGACCACCACCACAAGACCGCCGCCCCTCCCTTGGCCCTCTCCCCTCCACCGCCCGTGCCACCACATTGGCTCCACCACCACTTCTCTACCAACCCCCCATACCGTCGGCCACCCTCTCCATCCACCCCTTAACCTCCCATTAATTGCCTTGAATGCTTTCCTAATTTAGGAAGCTAAAATTTGGAGGGATTTTAAATTCAAATTCAAATAGATTTGAGTTAATTTCTTTCCTAATTTCATATCCTAATTAGGTAACTCTTTTAATCCCTCAAATTTGAAATCAATTTCAGATTTCTTCTTTGATTTACTTAATTGCTTGGGCCACAATCCCAATTAAATAATTCCCCCAAATTCCCCTCCATAGGGCCGACCGCCCCCTCTCTCTCCAATCACAGTAATTGGAATCCAATTAATTAAATTTCTAGGCCTAATTCCCTCTTAACCTCTTTTAATTTCAAATTTCAAATTTGAAATTCCCCTAACCCTATATTAATTAAAATGTGAATTTATTTTCAGATTTCACAATTAAATTCCTCTCCAATTCCTTCCCTAGCCGCCTCTCTCATACCCAAACCCTAGCCTACCGCCGGCCCTCCCCTCTACTCCCTCTCCTTCCCTTCTTGCTTCACAAACTCGCCAGCCCCAAGGAGTCCAAGAGAGGAGCCTCCCACGCCCATGGATGGCCGACCCTGAGGTCGACAACGGTTTTGCCTACAACGCACAAAGAGAAATCGATATTCTACTTTCTTCTTTCTACGAACCGGATTGGGAATATGACGACTCCGTGGAAAGCTATGTCAACCGCATCCTGTGTTGCCTCGCCGAGACGATTGAAGATCAACAACCCAAAACACCATGGCTTCTCATCGGACGATCCACTTCTCCTCCACCACAGACTACCTTCTCTTGGATCAAAGCCATTGGTGTTGCTACCATCTTAGTGGCATCGTTTAGTGTGCTGAAAGCCTCTCTCCGCTAAGCCTCATATTGAGTGTGAGTGAGAACGGTAACTCTTGGTGAAATCTCTAAATATTAAGCTTTGGATTTTATTACGGCATATCTAGTGTTATTGTAATATTTTTGAATTGTCTTAACTTGTTCTAAACTCCTACGTTTTGCGACTGCATGCCAAGACAAAATTGAGAATTGAGAATTCTTATAATCATACCTTCTGACTCATTAACCTTAAAGTAGCATGATTCGCAATACTTTTATTAGTTCCTTGCCATTCTTGTTTGGTTTCACATCACATATTTCTAAATAAAGATTTGCTAAATAAATTACCCGCGCCTTAAAAAATTTCCAGCTCTTCTCTGGTAGCCCCAAAAGCTATGATGCACTAATACTTTTCCTCAAACACTTATTGGACACAACACACGTCTAACACGTCTTTGACACTTGTTGAATACCACGAAGATGTGTTTGACTAAAAAATATAAAAAATAAATTGGACACACATCTTAAATATTTTATAATTTTTAAAAATTATAATTTCTTATATTTCAAAATTTATTTATTTTAAAAAATAAAATTTAAAATTTTTATTTCTTCTACAATCCCAAATCAATCGCCGACACCCAATACCTCATTCTCTTAAATTTCCCATTTTCATTTCTCTTTGGCGGGTCACAACTAGGGTTTCATAATAACACCTGATGCCATCTTAACATTACATCCGACGCCATCAGCATAAGCTGGAACACATAGGCGATGCACGTTTTCATGCCTTAGTCAAAGCTCGTTTGAATTTTGAGGAACGTGTAGCAACATAATTACATAAGCAAGTCCACATGAAACTTGGGTTTTTTGAGGTTTTGATTGAAACAAGGTGAAAGCCATAATGGTTTTAAGATCCAATTTTATTTTGATGTAGGCTAAGTATATGGTTGATTCCAAAAGAACACAGCTGAAGTAATGCTTGAGAGAATTATAGGAGTCATTTTAGAAGGAAAAAAAAAATGATATGTTGTATCAGAAATTAGCTTAATTCGTTGCTTAAATATCAACCATTGCTATAGATTTGATAATCATGCATAAATATACTTTTTCTCCAGGATTGTAGTAGTAGATTGTATATGAGTAGATTCATGTGCTAATCACATCATTTTTTATTATTCTAAATTTCCTCATACAAACCTTAAATCTTTTGATATGGTTTCTGCATTCCATTTCTTATATATCTTTCTTTTATTCGAGGACTTAATTAAATTGTCGCATATATAACTTTTCTCTTTTGGTTAACTGTGTTATCTGCTACAGTCTTTTGGAATATATCTTTATTTTGTTGAACTTTTAAGATTGCAGAAGATGTGACGCCGCCTGCTGCCATTTTGTATGCATTTTCTCTTCTGTCTTACATTTTACCCGAAGCGAAGTTGTTTCCACAGAAAGATCTTGGAGATTTGGCATTCAGAGATCCTGAGAAAAGAAAAATGGTTAGTCTTTGTTGAACCAATGCGAATAGTAAATGTGTGAAGTTGCGAACTAATACCAGTTATTTCTTGACGAAATATTGCATAATACAAGCTGGTCCTTTTAAACTATCTGTACGATAGTAGGCCTAAACTTTTATAATAATAGGACAATTATATAAAATCTTTCATCAAAATGTATTAATTATATTATTCTTGTTTAATGTTGATGAACCATAGCTTTATTTTGGCATAGAATATGTAGTTTCTGCATGTCCTATTCTTATATACTGAAGCTGTCTTATTCCTGAAGATGTTCTATTTTTTAATGCGTGGGATCGTTTGAGATGATAGAAGCATATTTAATTGAGGGAACATTCAAGCTAGCTCTAGTTTTCTGGACTTGTAAATATTTCATCCCACAGCAAGTAAAATTATAAAAATTCTATATTTAGTTGAATTAAATTAAATTAATTGCGTGCAAAAGACTTGACCTCATGAAACAACACTTACATAAATGAATGGAGAATGAAGACTTATACTGACAATAATTGGAGAATAATTAATGTTATTTCATTCCAACATTATTGCAGAATTTATAGCCATTGAAAAGCTTCTAATAGAGAATATACAAAATTTGGGACTGAAAAAGAACTACGTAATTAATCATAATAGGACAACCCTTCGAAATTTTCTTGTACAATCAGGTTGCTCTCATGAATTGGTGAGGTGATAGCAAAGATCCTACAGATATATGATATAGTAGGAAGAGGGAATAGGCTGTTTTGAGTGTAGGAGGCGAAGATGGAGACTGAGAAGGTGTTGTAGGTCTAGGATGGCAGAGAAGGTATTGCCGGTCTTAGAGGGCGGAGAAGCTGCATGCCTTAGTGGGGAGCAGAAGTCTAGGAGCAGAAAATGGGGCCAATTGGTGGTGAAAGCTAGGGCATTTTCACACTCCCTCTTAAGAAAATAAATGAATTATATGTTTTCCAAGTTTTTTTATTCCTTTTTGAAGGGATACTCTTGATAAACTTTTGGTGATAATATTTATAAATTATTTACTTTTTTTAATATAAATTATTTATCTGTGATAACGAACAGAGTACAAATTAGGCTACTGTCAAATTTCCCCTTTTAAAATATCTATCAACTTGAATATGTTGTGTTAATGTTGGATGGAATTATATATGATATTGATGTCTGATTTATCATCATAATAAAGCCTCATAATACTTTTCCTTTCAACCTTTATTCCCAGTGTCATATAGTGTTTTTTTTTTGAAAGGCGGTCCTAAGAATATAGTTAATTTAATTTTTGTGCTAGATTTGTTTACACCATTTTTATTATAATTCTCTAAAGTCATAAGGCGGTCCTAAGAATGTGCAATATTTTAAAATTGACATCTTTTAATCTGCTTCTATTTATGCTTCAAGAGTCATATCGTCTCGTATTTTGGATCGAATTCTCTCTTCTGAGGTTCTCGTTCAAGCATTGTAGGATTTTATATACTACCCTTAGACGTGATTCATTGAGATTGCACATGAATTAGCTCACAACACGGACAATATAGGTAGATAATCTTTCCTGTAAGTCTTTGATAGGAATTTTTTTTTCTATCGATATATCTTATAGAGCATTTTTAAGTTTATGATTGAATTTTTGGGCTTTTGATAGGCTTGCATCCTGACGTATTTATTTCTTTCAATAGTTGTGTTATGTATTTTTATTCTAATATGAATATTTCATGTCGAGATTGTGTAATCTCAATACCAAGAAAATATTTTAGTTTTCCTAATTTTTTTATTTCAAATTCTTGAACATTTTTTTTTTGTGAATTCTTCATTCTTTCCAAGTCATTGCTTGTCATAATAATGCCATCAGTATAAACTAAAAGTATTGAGAATCCCCTTGAAATTATGTGGTTGATAAATAATGTATAGTCTCATTGACTTTATTTTTATCTCTTGTTGAGCATTATCTTAGCAAACCTTCCGAATCAGGCTTTTTCGGATTACTTCAACCCATACAATCCCTTTTATTGCTTACTTTTTGTTCTATATTTAAACCAATTCCTAGTGGTGGCTCCGTTACGCTTCCTCCTTTAAGTCACCATTTAAGAAGAAATTTTTAGTATTAAACTATTATATTTTTTAGTCGATATTAGTTGCTATTGATAAAAAGACAATTATTAGAATATTTATCTTAGCAACCAAATCAAAGATTTCAGGATAATCAATCCTATATGTTATATTATAGCTTTTGGCAATTAATTTAGTCTTGTACCTTTGCAATGAATCATCTAATTTTATGAGAAAAGTTTTTATAAACAAATGTAAATGACGTTTAGTGTGATTTCTTGTATCTTTCTTTTTTGGAGCCCTTTCAATTTCAAGTTCATTAGTTTCCTCAATGAATTCAGAGACATAATTGACTCATTTGATTGGACTTGGCATAGATTGAGAGTTTAATGCCTTTTCTCTTGAGTAAATCTGTAGTGGCTAAGTAGAAAGCGGTTCAGGAATGGGTTCAGTTTGGGCAGGAGTAACTAATTTTGGGATAGATTTACTTGTTGAGAATGGAAATCTAGGAGGAAGAAATCATTGTCTTTATTATTTGTTAATGATATTTCTCTCAAAAGTAAGTAATAATAAAGTAGTGGTCTTCATTGAATGTGACATTAGCAAAAACATGCATTGTCCTTGTGGGGATAATGGTATTTATATCCTTTTAACTCGGGAGAATAGCCAATGAAGACGCATTTAATTGCCAGCGGGTTAAGTTTTTTTATTTTTTTATTTTGGAAATCTATTAGCACTTTCAAATATTTTGGGAATAACACTTTTTGAGATGTTGAAGTGAGCAAAGAATTTATTTAGGATTTGTATAAGATTCTTGAACTAAACGACTCTTGCAAGCAACCGATTTATGATATGAGCAAACATTAAAATAGGAGAAAATAACCAAAATGGTGCCGTTGACTATCTATAATGAACTGAAATGATCCTATACTATATAAAGAACTGAAATGATCCTATACATCAGTTTAGTTTGTTGGGGTATATGCATATGAGAGGACTCATGTATTATCATTTTTAAGTATGAGAGATAATGATTAAGATCTTTAATATCAACTCCAAGTTGATCTTTTGATCATGTTATAAAAGGTGGGAAAGATGATGGTCACATCACTCTTGGCTTTCAATAAAAATATTCGTGACACCTAGGTATAATCAGCATTAAAAGATGCAAACCACCAAGCCCTAGGGATGTTAGATGTAGAAAATAGTTCTCAAATGTCACCATGAATGAGAGAGAAATGAAGAAATATTCTCGAGTTAATAAAAAAAGCTGGCATGTTCATATTTTATCGTTCATAAATATCACAATAAAAATTTTCATTATTGTTTTCTTTGAATATGAAATAAACATAATTTTGAGAACAGTAAATAATCCGTGACTAAGATGTATGCATTGATGTCATATCATATTTTTGTTAGATTCAAGGGTTTTTGAAAAAAAAGATAAAATTTAAATGTTTCATATAATTTTCTTGATCATTAGATTCCTTAAACTAGTAGATAATATCTCTTTCTTTTTGAAGTCTAATTGTTCTCCTCATGCTCTGTTCCTAAAAGTCACAATGTGAAAGGCAAAACAAACTGTGTACTCAGAAACTTTAGTTAGCTTATAAATGGATAATAAGTTAGGAAATAATTTAGGTACATGGATGATATTTCAAAGTAAGAGGGATTTGTTTATAAGAATATTTCCTTGTTCCGCCACAATTGTCAAGATTTTTGTTGCTAGATCATGTAATATATAAAATAAATTTGTTAGAGAGGTTAATCATATGGCCTGTAGTTCTTAAATCAATGATTCATATGCTACAAATAAGCATCTCTAAGACTTTGAAAGCGTGAGAAAAGGATGTTGTCTTATAATGCTAGAGTACATGAACCTGTAGGTGTTTTTTTCTTGCAATGCAAACAAAAGTTTCAACTTTTAGCTTCTTGTTTGTGGAATTCAACAAACGATTCTTTAGAGTTACCTTCTTCCATATGCATTATTTATGCATGTACATGTTTTTTCCAGTCCTCTATGCCTTGTTGCTAGTCCTTTTTGTGCTGTCTAATTTAAGTTTATGGTTTGCAATTAAGTTCTAAAAATTTCTCTTTATATGTCAAAGATTTTGTTGAAATATATATACCATTGAGTATCTCTATTGTTTGTAGTCCTCAATGTGGGAGGGCTTTGAGTCAGAGTTCTTGATGTTAGCAGCCTTTGATATTAAGGTTGATCCCTCCACAAGTCTATTGATTATGACTCCCTTTCTTCCTTCTTTAGTTCAAAATTCCTATAATGGCAATAATTTTGTTTAGTAATGGTTGATCCCCTTTTTTTGAGAATTTGTTTATTTATATTCCATCTTTTTCAACCAACTTCTTAAGAAGAGTCATATGTTTGTTTTATTCAATTTGGATGTATTGATAGTGATCAATCTCTTGCCACAAACTTTGCAATAGGTTAGAATATTCTATGATGGGGCTTCCTTGTTGCATTATGGGTGAGATCTTGGTCTTGACGGAATAGATTTTTGTGGCATCTTGGACTTTGGAATATGTTTAATTTACCGTATCCTGTAGTTCCTTTGATAAATAAAGAAATATGCATGCATTACTTATCATTGGAACCATAGGGTTCCCTAACGTGAACATCACCAAAGTGTCCTATTCATTCCAAACCTTAAACATGGGATACCTTGCTCAAGTTTGATGCCCAATGAGTCAATGACTAACTCTAATTTTCTCTTACTTTCAAGATTGTGCGAACAAATTGTGATCATTTTATTTAATTCTTTCCAGTATGTATAGTCATTTTACAACTCTGTTGGATTTGGATTGCATCCCTCAATCCCAAAGACGGCTTGAGACCAAGGGAAATGTTGTTGTCCATGGAGAGAAAAATTGTGGCAACTGTGTGCTTTGGAGGTGCATAAAAATAGCAGAAATTGAAAATGTTTTTATTTCAAAAATAAGGAAGAGAAGAAAGACGTGAAGACACATTGGAAAAAAATTCCTAAAGCTTTGATACTGTGATAAAAATTGAAAAATTATTGACTGAGTTTCATTCTAACATTTGTGCAAACTTTCTACAATCCTATGAAAACTTCTAATAAGAAATATATTAAAATCATAAATTAAAAATAACTAACACATTAATTACATTAGAATAACCTGTAAATGTTTATTTTACAACTTAATAGCTCACATGGCTTGTGGAGGTGGCAACATGGTTTGTGAGGTGGAAAGAAAGAGTCTACTATGGGCCCAAGAAGGCGGAGATGAAGGTGGTAAACCTATTGGTGGTCCAAGAGGGCGGGGATGGAGGCGAAGAAGTTGTTGCAGTTCTAGGAGGGGCAGTCGACTTGGAAATTTTCAAGGCCCTTGGCATATTGTAAATTTGAGGTGCGTAGATATAATGTGTAATAACTCAAAAAAGGTAAATAGTAAAGATTTGAAATTTTGGGTTTGAACCCATTTACATTTGTTATGAAGAGTTTTAATGCTTGAAAGTGCTTGGGTGTGTTCTAGAATGAGTCCCAAGTGTTGCATGTGAATTTTGGCAAAATTCGAGAATAACACTTTTGGAGCGCAGCGGTGCGGGTTGTTTGAGCACAACGGCGCTGCACTCAGTTGAGGCGCCAGAAAGGGACATTGCAGCACTGACTCTCAGTTTGTTGCATATTTTTTAGAGCTATAGTGCCCAGAATTGAGCGCGCAGGGCCATTATGAGAATTTTTATATATTTTAAAATCCATTTTTTCCGATGATTTGAGCGCCGAGCCAACCGAAGAGGAGAGAGAAAGATAGGTTTTTAGAGAGAAAGTTTGTTTTGAGTTGCTTCAGAATATTTTTAGCCATCGGACCAGTTGAGAAAGTTGTATGGAGCTAGGTGAGTCACATTTTGCCTATGTATGTTTTCAAATTTGATGTTTTTCCCAAATTTCTCAATTAAATTTATATTTTAGTTAGCAAAAAACGTGTATAACTTTGCACTGATGAAACTTTCACTACGTAGCTTTTTAAATGTTATTGAGATCGTGATTATGAACGTTTTGAGCATTTCTGGAAATTTTCTACCGATATTTTAGAATTTGGATAGACATAATATGATTAATGATTCATGAGTATTGTATATAATTTTTGGAGTAATGAAAATAGTTGTATATTGATGTTTTGAAGTATAGAAATTATTTCCGTTGTTTATGACTTATAGATGATATTAGATGGCTTTGGTGTTCTTATTAAAAAAAAGCAAAGAATTCTTCCAATTTAGATTCTGGGTGTGACATAATGTACCCATTACATCGTTAGATTATCAATTTTGTGATTCAAACACCATGTTCTTTTGGATGATAGGAGTTTGAGAGTAACAAAATTAGAAAGATATGAAAATTTTGAAACTAATTGGTTTATGATTTCTAATCAAGCTCAAAATTTAATTGAACTTATTCCCATGTCCTTCACTTTTCATTATGTACACACACTAATGAATTATAAGAGCTAATTAGATAAAAAGAGTTTAATATTATTGGGTGACACTCGACCATACTAGTAGGTGAATGCTAGGGGTACAATCTGAGAGCTTGTGTGAGAATGGAAAGAAAGGGAGGGGAAAACTCTATATGAAATAATCTATTTGCTCCATGGTTTAAAATTGTGCAATATGAGGCTCGCCTTGAGGGCCCGCCTTTGCACAATTCCAATAAAAAATGCCTCAATGCGTATGCCTCTAAGTTTTTTTTGAGGCTTGCGCCTCAATTTGGTTGATGCCCGCCTTGAAGCCTGCCTCGCCTCACTGGCATGAGGCTTACGCCTCACACTATATATATTAAAACTTACATAAATCTTGAAGTAAATGCCCGACATTGGGCTCTATAGGAGAGGAGGAAGGGGAGAGAGCAGTTCATCATAATGATGATTCAAATGAAGAACTCTTTAGTGATGACAGTGCTGATGACTTATGAGTTCTTATGTGATATGTCATTGCTATTTATTTTTGGAAATTAGAATTATATGTTAATGAAAAGAATACTGGGATTTGGGAAAGATAGAATTTTGAATTGAACTATATTTTATGTTGTCTTATTATTGGGATATTTTGATTTCACTTCATATCTCATGTTTTTTTTTTATGTTTTATATTATTCACTCATTAATATATATTATATAAAAAATTCATTTTATGTTACGCAATATTTTGATTTTGAGGCTTACGCCTCAAAACGCCTTGAGGCTTACGCCTCGCCTCACGAATGAAAAACGCCTCAATACCCGAATACGCAATTTTAAACATTGATTTGCTCAAGTATCTATAGTAAAAATGCCAAAAAATCCAAAAATTTATTCTCCACTTTTTATTTAAAGGGATTTGAGAGCTACGAGAAATGCTACATCAATAAAAAAATAAAAGATGCAAAAATTAATATCTTAGTATAGATTGCCTTAGACATATGTCATATTGTGGGTAACTCAATGGGTGATCGCATCTTTCAATCTTGTTTCTCTATTTTGGGGTGAGTTTTGTAGTACCGAGTGTGCAAGGACGATTAGGAGTAGGCAAGTCTGCTAGTGAGTGCTGATCTGAGAGGGCTATGACTGGCGAGCATCTTGAAGTCATTGCGCCCTTTGTTGGAGCTCCATATTGCTTTTGAGTGGGAGGTGGGTATGTTTTAGTTGTGGGGATGGTAGGCTCCACAATTAGTCGACTGTGATGGGATGAGCTGGAACCCTCTTGAAAATATATTTTCCTTTAGTTGAGATGATGAGCATGGTCGATGATGATCCATCATAGATAGCAACAAGTGGCTTTGGTGGCTAGTTCTCATTGGAGGGCAAATGACGAGTATAGTGGTTTTTTAGAACCCTTGAGTGCTCTTGTGAGGGGCAACTCACCTCTTGGTGTTTCATCGAATTAGGTCTCATGGGGTTCATGAGGTACATTCACCCGTTATGATCAGTCGACCCCCTGTTGAATACCTGAAAAGGCATATGGGAGTACAAATATTTCATCTAAACAAGCATAAGTGAGAAGTTTTTTTAAACCATATCACTATTATCCTTTTGAGATACACTTGTTGAAATTCTTCATTCCATGCCTGATTCACTTGTTATTTAAGCCAGGTAATTTTTTTATCTGGCCATACTTTGAGATGATCTTTTGAAAATTAATTCAAGATTGCACAAATGTTGTCCTCTAAATTAACTGTATTTCATATGATAAATACGTGGAAAAATTTAGGATTACAACATTAACATAATTGAATTTTTTGGTTGATAATCCCTTTTATGTTGTACTACTCTTTTGAAGCTTTATTAGTTATATTTTCAACAAATTTTTTATGTGTAATACCCGTTCTGGTTGGCTGATGTAATGTTCGATTTTTAGTTTAGAGAAAGTATAGATTTTGATTGTAATACAAAGTCATTATCATCATTATCCTTTTCCCAACTATTTGGGTGGCAATGTGATGCAAAACTATGATCAACATATCTCATACGCTATTGTCTTCAGCTATCAATAGATTAACTTTATGTCCTTCAAGCCGTTTCATTTTTTCCTGCCTTGTTTCTTTTGGTATTTTTAGCAAGGTCATTATTGCCACGTAGTTTTAGTATACTGATTCACTGTCTACATTTCCTTTCAGGCTGAGTATAATGTAATATCGTATGCTGATCAAATGCGACTAAAAACAGCTGTTGAGCTTGTAAAAGCAACTCGTGAAATTGAGTCAAAGCTTGAGGAGGTTAGATTTACTTTTCTGATTGTATAAGCACATTGAGTTAGTAAAACAACTAAATGGTTTTACAAAAAAATAGAGCTCACAAGTATCTCATTATGCAATGTGACAAAAACTTCTAAAGATGTGTTGGTTTGCAATCTCAATTGAAGTGGTTGTTATGTTTCTCAACTCCTTGAATTCATATTTTTTCCATTTCTATAAATCAGAATTCTCCTCCACATTATCTGTGGTATCCGAATTTTAGCACCTTTTGTTTGTGCCAATTTCAAATTCCACTAGCGTCGACAATTTTCTATGACCCAATTATCCTCCTTAAACTAGGACCCGCTTAAAAGGGCTCCACTTCCATTTCTGCACCACCAAAGGCCTCTGGTATTTTTGGGGCTTCCCTGTCCACGCCTCTTTGAGCATCTCTATAGTTTTGGGTATCTTCTACAGGCCAGAATTCATCCAAGTTAGTAGGATAAAAAGCTGCCTTCTTTCAATTATGATATATCGTATATCATATTCCAAGTGAAGAAACAGCATTTTAGTATTACCAATTCTCAACGTATGAAAGATATGCTCCATGTAAGTGCTAAATAGTCAAGCCCTCAACATATGACACATAGGCTTTGCAAAAGCACTTCAGAGTAAATCTTGCCCCACGATTTATCATCCAATATTTTCTCGTCAGTCTTGATATCTCTATATAATCTGCTATATCTGTCAATCTTCATATCTTTATCAAACCTTGCATTCTCCTTCTAGTACTTTGTAAACATTACAATTGCTAATGCTATACGAGAATCTAAAATGGTTAGCTTTTCTTTTTCAAATGATTTCGTTAAACATAACCGATCTCAATTATTATATCATAATGTATTTTTGGTTGGATCTACATTCCCTGCTATCTTTTATAGTCCACTTTCACCCTTTAAATGTCATTTTCTTTATTTTAACATTCTTCTTTGCTCAAACATTTTGAATGCTAAAATCAATGTGGGATAGATATGTGAGTCCAAAATAAATCCATAAACTTTCTTATTGTTTTGAAACTTGCATTTTTAATGGTGAATGAAGCCCCATCAAGACATCAGCTTGCAACAAAGGCTGACTTATAATTGGATCTTTAAGTTCTGGCTTGGGCCATAGGTCCTTGATTTGAGAAATTTTCACTTAGGCCCTCATATTTTTATAATTCAATTAGTGTTTACTTAAGTTTCTATCAATAAAACCGTAAATTCACCCTACACACCTCTACGATGCCAGAGCATGTCAACTCCTCTTCATTCTTAGCTCTAGTGTGGTCTCGACTCCTTCAGCTGAGCTTTAGGCACCGCAGAGCTTAGGTTGATTGTGCTACATGGAATAATAGACTCCTGTTGGCCCCTCCTTTGCCCTACTGCAGCCTTTGACACTGGCAACTGAGCCTTATGTCCATGCAAAGCCAAAGCTGTTGGTGTTAGCTCTACTCAACGCCCTCTTTGTTGTCTCAATGTTGTCAATCAATGATTCATGGGGATTACCTATTTCAACAAATCTGTAAACAAACCTGTTGACCTCCACCTATGCTTCGAAAATTAATACGAGCAAAAGCGATGACTACTGGCGACTATTGGCGTACAAGACGTTGCTCGGAATAAAAATTGGAGAGCCTCAATCATGCTCAAAACTGCTTAGACTTTTCTAAGTGCAAAACGGATTCTACTGATAGACTCAGGATGTCCAATTTATCAAAGAAAAGTCACTTGTGTGCGATTTGATCGAACTGATGACAAAAATGAATGTTGGTGGGCGCAATGTCGCACAAAATTGCCTGAACAACTTTTGATTGTCAAAAAGGCTGCGTCGATATGTTTGAGACATTGAATTTAACTAGGGGAAACTTCTTGTACGAAATTCGCGCGAAGATGATTGAAGACAATGATATACAAATGTGACGATACGTGACATTAGCCAAATGATGTCCGTTCGTGAAACGGGCTTCGCCGTTGCATCCGGAACATCAAAAATACCTAAAATTGACAGTAATACTGCCAAGCTTCATGGACAAGCGAAAATGCAAAATTTGCTTGTGTGAGTCGACGACATGAATTTAGAGATGACATGATAAACGAGAAATTTTATGGTGGATTCACGTTTCTTTAGTCCTGTTCACTTGATTTCTACACAGCACTTCCCCCTATTCCTCTCTACTCTCATACTTGCCTCGCTTAGCTCGTCTTTCACGTTCTCACAACTCTGTCCACAGAAATCTCCCTCACTCTCGTTCTCTGCTTCAGTCACACGACCCCTCTGCTCCACTAACCACGGCCAATCTCCACCAGCTGATCAGCTCCCTCACTTCTTCACTCCAAACACAGCAGCTCCTCCACCTTTTGCTCGATCCAAACAGCTGCTGCTACGCCATTTCTTTCTCTCCCGATCTCTCCACCTAAGCCCGCTATCGCCTACTCTGTTACTCAGCTTCTTATAGCTAACCGAACCCCATCTCCCTTCGCTAGCCCGTCCAAGCCAAAGAACCAGCTTCTTCTCATGCCGCGCTACCTGTTGCTCTTCTCTCCCATTCACGATATCACCTCACTCCACTTTTCCTCAGCCTCCTAACAAAACCAGAGCCATGAAGCCCTCTCAACCTATAGCTGCTGCATCCCACACCCAAAGAAAAAGAAAAAAACACCTCCCTATTCCACCTACCTTCACGTCTTTAACCCACATAGCCCACTTGATCCCTCTTCCAACAGCCACTTGCTACTTCCTACATATACTCATCATAGCAATAACCCCAGCCCACATTCCACTCTCCACCCATTCCATCCAATAGAGAACTCTAGCAGCAAACAAACCCCTCTCTCTATTATTACTATTATTATAGTAAAAAAAAGACTAAAACAAAATCAGAAAGCACATTAAAAAAAAGGATAGAATATTCAAAAAAAAAAAAGTGAGGAAATTATGTTCCTCGCCTTCGTTGTCTCGTTGCCGTCTCATCTAAGTATCTAACGCATAGGTATAATTTTGGAACTCAAAATAAGTACCCGTTCACTTCTGATAAGCGTGAGCGTGGTTGGGAGATTTATTAATTAAGTACATATTCGCTTTTGATAAGCATGGCGGGAAAAACTTGTTAACCTAAGTATCCATCCACTTCGAATAAGCATGACAGGGACGATAAGCATGATAGGGAAACTCGTTTTTGCTTGTGCAGGTGACATGACCCACATGCCTCTAATAAGCATGCTGGAGAAGAAGACCCTTTGTCGCGATGTCATCTAACATCTATCGTCTCGCTTTCGATAAGTGTGGAAGGTAGGCTTTAGCTCTCTCAAAATTTCTCATACGCGAGAGAGATGCTGGGAGGTTGCCAAATTCAGACTGAACACTTACAGGGAACAAAACATAATGATATGTTTAAAATAAAAATGAAATTTATAAAAGTTAAATAAACTTATAGAGAACTTGAATGACTTTGAAAAGCTCGTTTGCGAATGCAAACCTTCCTTGTCAACACTAAAATAATTGTGAACTTCAAGAACTCAATAAGTGAACTAAAATGAATTGAGAAATGAACTGAGCTTTCTCCCTATTTATAAAAAATGATGGATAGCCTTAGGCCGTACATATATAAAATCCATATATAGACAAATATTTTAATTATCAGTAAATAGAGATAAAACCAATGGGTCTTATTTGTGCATATAAAATTTATTTACTAAAGAAATGCACAGTTATTAGAAGATGATGATAGACCTCGCAAGCCTCGCCTCCTTTTAGAATAACTTATATAAGGATAAATTTTAAAAGAATATGAATATGGGATCTACTTTGTATTTAATGCCACTAGATTCACAACATCGTAGAAGTGGACAAAAGTCGTCACTTTTATACTCAAAATGAAACATTGCTTATTTTCCAACGATAAATATTTGCACAAATGATCACATTTAAATATTTTAAAATCTCCGCACACATTTCAAAAATATATATACAATTTTTTATACTTAAATGCACCATCTCAAGAAAAAATGTCATTGCCTTAAGAATTATGCAACAACATTGAAAAAAGTACAACTTCGAGAAGAGTGTTTATTGCCTCGACAAGCATGCCACAATATTAAGAAGCGTGCAACGATCCAACAAAGTGCACTCCATTGAAAAGTGTACTAAACTTGTGAACAACATTGTTAGAGAATGATATGCTTGGTTAAAAGCATTATAATCTAAAACCCTCTCTTTAAACTAATCATCTGCATGTGCTCTAATAAATGTGTTAAATGTGGAAATACAAATGTTTGAGAATGCTACGCAGGGTTAAAACTCAATAATTTAAAATCCTATTTTCAAATTAATCACCTGCATTTGCTCTGACAAATGTGTTAAATGTGTAAACACAAATATCTGAGAATGCTACGCAGGGTTAAAAGCTACTTAATTTGGAATCCTAATTTCAAACTAATCACATACATGTGCTCCAACCATCGCATATAATAATTAATCCTAAGGTCCAAGAATTTTTCTTGAGTTAAATTTTAAGTATGATCCTCCTCCTTGAAAGGACTGGAGTTAACACGACTTAAATTAATAAGTAAATGTTTGATCATAAATCTACCCGGATATTAGTTTTAAAGTTTACATTAGGTCTTTAAATGCTCTTTCATGAAACTCATCATAAAAATATAAGCTCTCATTTTTTAATATTCGTACAATAACTCACAATATCAGTCACCAAACCTAATTCTTTGTTGGCGGGAAAACATAATCGACACTGTTAAAATAACTAAATATTATAAGTACTTCACCCCTCATGTTGGTTGTGTTGAAGATGAATCTCAATCGGAGGAATCTACATTTTAAATGCCTCCCAATATTGATAAAATACAAATATTTTTAAATGACTTTAGCGTATCCTCGATGATGGCCGTGTTGAAAGAAAAATTTAATTGGAGGGGATTTTATCCTTTAAAATGCCTCGAACAACTAATGGAATATTGATATTTTCAACTAAGTGGACTAGGGACCTTGATGACCCAGGACGATAAAACAAAGAGATATTGGTCATGTTTATCAGCATTCTCCCCATCATTCGCTTTAGTTGTGCGGTGATAAATTTCTAATTTTAAACATCTAAATTTGCTGCTACTATATGCTGGAATAATCATTACCCCATTATCAGCTTTATGTGTGTGATAATTAATTTCTAATTTCAAATATTTAAATATTCACCACTATATGTTGGATAATAAGTATCTGCTTGATGACTAGTCTCAATCAAATATGCTCTCTCATTATCGAGAGGGGTAATTAATTATAGGTGCTTAACCCTATAAAAACCAGAACTCAGATTTTAAAGTTTTTGTTAAGAGGGTGATAATCTATGGGGTAGTATCTTATCTCTATCTAATCCGCCTTCCGAAAATTTCACCTAAAATATAATCCGTTAAAACACTCTCCAAATATATGTAGATATGTCGGGGCCCCAAAAACTCAAATTTTCATAACCCACAAAAACCTTGAGGAGGTCAACTTGTAAGATTCCTCCATATGCATTTGTGAGGGTCATTTTCGCATTGTAGCTCTTAGTGTGTCTTTGGATTTCTGTAATGAGGGGTAACCTGTGAGACCTCGTTCCCTTACTGTTCCTCTCTGACTTGGATTTTTCTTCCAGGATCGTCCGGGACGATAGTGAGATCGTACAGGCTGATCTGTACTGTTCAAAATATCGTCCTGAGAATAGTTCTGGGAACCGTCCAGGCCGATGATTTTGGTCTAATCGTCCCAGGACGATCTGGTGATGGGCCGGGCCGATCAGCCTAATGATATAAGAAAATCAGCTCATTTTGAGGAGAGAGAAAATCATTTTAAAAATACATCTACTCTCCTAACGGGATCATCGGAAGGCTGTTGTTTTATATGATCAAACCATCTAAGGCAACTCTTTCTAATCTTATCTTTTATTGGAGCCACTCCAACCTTTTCATGTATATACTCGTTTCATATCCTGTCTCTAAGAGTAAAGCTACTCATCCATCTGAGCATCCTCATCTCTGTAACAATTAACTTAATTTTATGCTTCTCTTTTAATGGCCAACATTCTGCATCATAAAACATTACAGGCCTCACAACCATCTTATAGAATTTTTCCTTAAGTTTGAGGAGCACTTTTCTATCACACAACAAGCCCAATGCATTCCTCCACTTCAACCATCCAACTTGAATTCTACTAATAATATCCCCATCTATTTCACCATCACTCTGAACAATAGACCCAAGATATCTAAAACGTTTACTCATATTAATGACTTGATCACCCAAAGTCACAATGCCTCTACTAGATATATTACTACTAAAATTACACTCCATATATTTAGGTTTAGATCTATTCAAATGAAAACCTTTAAACTCTAAGGTTTATCTCCCCATAATTCTAGTTTACCTTCAACTCCCTCTCTAGCCTTATCAACAATAAGAATATCATTAGCAAAAAGCATACACTAGGGTACAACTACAACCTCTTGCAAATGTCTAGTGAGAACATTCATGACTAAAGCAAAAAAATATACTTAACGCGGATCCTTGATATAATCCAACTGAAATAGAAAAATATTTGGTCAAACCACCTTGTGTTTGAACACAAGTAACAACTTATGCATACATATCATTAATGACTTGAATATAAGCATTATTAACCCCTTTATGTTTTAAAACTCTCTATAGCACTTCCCTTGAAATTTTAATATATGCTTTCTCTAAAAAAAAAAATCATATGTTATCCGCTTGTAGATAAACTTTAATTTCATATTTATAAAAAATAAGGCCAACTTATTGTTTCGATTGGCTTGTTTTGTTTATTTGATTTAGGTGACTTCGCCGTTGCTGATTCTTCATGGAGCTGCTGACAAGGTGACAGATCCTAATGTGAGCAAGTTCCTTTATGATAAGGCTTCCACAAAGGATAAAACTCTCCGGTTTTACGAGGAAGGTTACCATGCTATTCTCGAGGGAGAACCTGACGAACGGATTTCTAATGTTATTGATGACATCATTTCCTGGCTAGATTCCCATGTTGCCATTCAGTAGCTTCGGAGATTTTCTGCTCAAAGTTAGTTTTCTTATTATCCTGTCACATTTTTTTTGAGATTCTGATACAAATTATATTATGATGATTTTGAAAGTTTTTTTATTTATTTTGAGATTAGTGTAGTATGAAATTAATCTTAAAATAAATTTAATGACTTTCAAATTCATCTTAATACTAATTATATTAGTATATCCTTACATAATTTTTTTTTTCATTCCATTCATGCATCAACTTAATATGTTTATTGTATCAGTTATCTTATACTAATTATTGTTAACTATTTCTTATGATTCCATGCAGTTGTCTTAGGGAGATTGATTCCAGAAATTCAGAGTAATATGATATTTCCCCGTTGAAGCCAACGCTATCCAACATGAACACATATTTATGAAGAAAATATTTTGGATTTTACTACAGATTTTTGGGGATCTTTTAGTAAGTGTCTGGATTGTACTTACATGTTAGTCTTTGCACAAATATGCTTTTAGCCTTCACTTTTTAATTTTCAAAAAAATTTCAATGATTAAGGCTAATTATTTTGTTAAATCATCAATTAGAAAGAAGAATTTTCAACAATCAAATGATGTCTATTTTTAGTGATTATTTTTTGTATATGCATAAAATTATTTGGTATGCAATATGACACAAATGAAATAATTTTATCTAATCTTTTAATTAAAATTTTAATGATTTTTTTTACAAACATGCATATTGCCATTAAAGTGACTTTTTTTTAATAATTATTAAAAAAATGTCACGTCCGATAATTTAATTTATTTTTTTTCTTTTATCCTTTATTATACAAAAATTATATTTTGATAATGTTTGCAACCGTCTAAATTCTTAACTATTAAGATATTGTTCATAATGTTCATAAATTCAAATTAAATATGATAGTCCCTCGCATGATGGTGAGAGACATCTTGATGTGACAACTAATGAGAGTATATTTTCTAAGTATAATCATGCATGGAACAATAAGGTAAACATTTTTTTTAAAAAAAAGTTGTGAAATGGAGTGGTCCTAATCTAGAATTTCTAATTTATGATGCATTAATGCTTGTTCTCCAATGTTATTGTTCTCCAATGTTATTGAGAGTCTATTATCCTTTATTAAAACCTGAACAATAAACTATCTAATAAAAATATTTTATGCATTCCTGTTTAATGATGGGAGTAAAAGGTTCCAAAAGTAAGATGGAGTGGATGTGAGAAAGATGTCTAGACAAGGAGCAATTATTACGTCCGATCACTGAACACGTTCATAGACAAATAACCACGCGCCACATCACCTGAAACTCGATATTGAACACTTGGTATTGCTCGGTATACATTTAGATACGTTCGAATTTGATTGGATGTAATAATTACTCCTAGACAAGGCATTTGAACTCCCTACATATGTATGGCCACTAACTACACTGTTTGCTAGTCAATTATGATAAGAATATTTTTTTTATATATGACATTATTGCATGCAAAAATTTTGAACTAAGAGAATGAGGATTGATAAAATTTGAGTTAGGAGAATGAGGATTGATCTCAATAACTAAAAAAAAAATCTCATAGTAAAGAATAGATATAAAATTTGTAATAAGAAAAACAACCAAAAAAAAATTTTCTGACGCCTTGCATGATCCACTATATTATAAAATACAAGGTTATTTCACATGAAAGTACTTGGAGGACTTAAATACTAGATGCATATTGACAGCCAAAAAAGAAAATGAAACAGGCTTTAAGATTTGTCTTCCAACGTCTCTTAAAAATGCTATATTAACATATAACATAATACATGCACAGCTCATCTTGATTTATTGATTGGAGGCTTTGGATACTTCAATATTCAAGTCATCTCCAACCGAATACTAAACCAGCATTTGCCATCCGCAAGCTGCTCCACCCGAACGTAAAAATCTGCACCATTCTCGCGACATGAATAGTTCGATGCATATACAGATATCACTGTGTTCACAGTCTTTATTATTATTTTTTTTTTTTGGAGAAAAAAATACCGAGAATATTCTTTTTTAATGTTAAGAAATGAAATTCACTTGAAAATGAATTCTTGTATTTTAGAATGAAAAATGAGTTTTTTGATTGAAGATGCCCTCAGAAGGATGTTAAATCCCCTACAATTTTGATACAAAATATGTACAATTTTAAAGAAGCTTATACAGTCAACATTGATATTGTTACAAAGAAGCACATGTTCATCTTGTGCTGTAAGAATCAACAAATACAGAGAGCGAGTACATCAGCAGTATGGGAAGGTTGCAGAATCACTAGCTTCGCCTGCCAATCATCTACAATTTCATTTTGTTGAAGAAACCCATAATGAAATCAAGAAAGCAAGAATATATATTGTTTGAGTTAGGCTTCGTTTGGGATGACTTTTTTAATGCTTTTTAAAATAACTTTTTAGTATAAAAATTTCTAATTTTAAAAAAAAATTATACTAAAAAAAGATGCTTTAGAAAATAGTGAAAAGTCGTCCCAAATGAAGCCTTAAGCAACATGAAAGTAGTGGCAGACGAGAAAATAAGAGGGTGGTAAAATGAAAATATAAAGAAAAGGTTACTACTAAGCAAATGTCAATTATCTGCAGAAACTTCAGAAATTTGTAATTTTGCACTTCACAGTATAACAATTGATGAGATAAATTGGTTATGTGAAATTATGTTATCATATAATGTCAATGGATAAATAACTCGAGTGAACATGAAATGTTAGTTTCTAATGTCAACGTCTACTTAGCATCTTTAGCATCAGTTCTATGAAGTAAAATGCTTGATAAAATTCCACTTCTATGTTTTATGACAAAGAATACGCTATTGAGAAAATAATACTTAAGTTCAAATAAATTTGGTGGTATCCACAGGAAAGCACTCAGATTTAGGAAGATTTTTTTTAATCCTAAAGAAACAACCACCACTAAGGGGCTGTTTGGTAGCACCCAAGATTTGATTTAAGTAAGAATTCGGAAATCCTAAGGGGCCTAAATCCTAAAAAACTGTTTGGTAACATTCATGAAATATCCTATTAAATTCCGTGTGACTGTTTGACTATAGAACGGATTTAACAATCGGACTCTTCCCCTCGAGTCAATAGATTTCGTAAATCCGACAAAAAACAGGATTTCGGAAATCCAGGATTCACCGTGAAAAGGCGGAATTTTCAGTCCACCACGGTTTTCTTTTGCCGTGAGATTTGGTTTATCATTTTAGGCTGTTTGGCTGGATTTTGCTCAAATCCGACCTAAATGCTGCCTACCAAACAGCCCCTAACAGTTGCAATGGTATCAGTGTCCCTAGTTTATAAGGCAAGCTCTCGTGTTCTGTTGGTAAAATCCATTGAGCTAAAATGTTTGGATATGGATTGAGCCAATCATCCTTCTCAACAAAGTTGCACTCTGAAGCAAAAATCTCCGTGCTTGATGATGTAAAATATGTGAAACCCCATTACTCCAATACTTGGAAATAAAGAACATTTACGAGTCACAAGGTGCAAATATCCATGCAATAGCTTTTGGACAATCCTATGTATATAAATTTTAGGTAAAAAGTATGCACTGCAACCTATTTCATGTGATCTGTATGATTATAGGCCAAAACAAATATTTAATTTGGAACTTAGGCTTCGTTTGAGATGACTTTCTTACTGTTTCTTAAAGCAGTTTTTTAGTATAAAAATTAAAAATTTTGAACTATAAAGTTGTTTTAAGAAGCAGTAAGAAAGCCGTCTCGAATGAAACCTTAATTTCACATAAAATTCCTAGGTTTAAACATACATAGCTCAAACGTGCAAGCAGTCAGTGAAGCAAAACATCCTGTCAATATTTTTTGTAGCCTCATTTAAGCGATAGGATCACTTAAGGTAGGCATAGGAATCTGTACAAATAAAAAATACTAACAGTCACCACTGCTTTATTTTTAGAAGTGGGGCAATGGGTTTGGCATAAAAAAAAAAAAAAAAAAAAATAATTTAGAGCAGCCCGAATATAAAGGTCAAGAATAAGCATTAGATGGCCAAAGCTTTGTTTGAGAAGATAAAAACCTAAGTAGAATCCAACGCCCGACTATAGCTCGAAAGAATCAAAACAGAAACCATAGATAACAGTGACAATGTTGATACCACTCCTGCAAATGAAAACTAAATAATTTACATTTGTTAACCAGCTTGGACTAACATAAAAGCTCGTTCTCTAAGAAAACTAGATGACTTCAGCTTTTACTCCTTAGAAGAAACTAATAAAGGCACCTGATGCGAGAAATTATTCTGTGCAGAGGCCGGACGTAACTCTACGTCCGGAGGAGAATCAGGTGCAGCCACATCAGCGGTACCGAGCGATATCAAGCTACGGTACACAACGAAGAGGTGATGTGGCGCATTCTGGTTGGTCTCCATACGACGTTCGGCGTCTGCACAGAATAATTAATCCGCTGATAGATGGATGAATTGGGCGTGCATTGTCTGCTCTTTAAATTTTCCTTCTAAAATTCAGCAAATCTAAACCCGCCTAATAAGTAAAAGAGAGATATAATGCACAATAGAAGAAGATAAATAATTATATAGTACGCGTAACAGAATATGAATAGATAAATCCAACTAAGCACACCTATGCTAATAAGATAGTAGTATGCGTATAAAGGTGCACAATAAATAAATGATCAAGCTTAATGCATAATGATAAAGATCACACAACATTCTTTGCACAATAAATGTTCACCAAGCAACGCAATACATTTGAGTCCACAAATATATAAGATGGCGATATGAAAGATAATTGTAATGTTATGAGAGAATCAATGAGCTTTTCTTGCGATGAACAATTCAATTTTTTTAAATGATAATTTTTATTAAATATTTTTCTCCCAACTTTTTTCTTTGCAAAATAATTAATATACCAACTCAAAGTCATGAAAAATAAAATAAAATAAAAAATCTATTCCAAATGACTCCAAAATCTAGACAAAGTCAATTTAGTAAATAATTGAAAACTTTAGCTAGCAAAATTTAATGAATTCAAATATGAAATATATGATATTAAATATGAAATTATATGTAAACAAGTCAATGAATCCGATGAAATAAAAATAAAATTCAAATTCTTTCATGAAAAATTTTAATTGCTAAATTAATATAATTAATCAATAATTAAAATATAAAGCCATATCTAAATTTAAGGGATTAAATAGGACATTTAGGATCAAATAAATTTGTTAAAATAAATGAGATATAAAAAAAAATTCAATGATATAAAGATCTAGCATAAATACCTTAATTAAAAAAATAATAATATAATTAGATAATAGATCAAAGTTAACATAAAGTAATATAATTAGCAAATTTAATGAAATGATTACACCATCAAGATCACGCAAATTTGCTAAAAATATGAGCAATTAAAATCATAATAATAAATAACTAATAAACATAATAACTGATTATATAATTGATAAAATAAATACATAATAATATATAATTACCAAATATAGCTATAAATAGGAAATCAAACTAATAAATTATAAATATATAAAATTAAAATAAATAGTGTTTATAATAATTCAAATATAACTTTAAATTCTTATAGATAAAACTTCAATCATTTAACCTGAAAAATTCAATAAAATTACAATAAAAAATATCCTAAAATCATGCATTAGACTATACAGCATTGGATCTTCATTTTGCATTTTTCTTGAATTCACCGACAGTGACCAGAGTACTAAGAAAGCCAAATGATAGATCATTATCACCATTATGGCTAATAAATGATTAACAATAAATAAAATCCTAACAACAATTAGATGACTCTGCATAAGAGTAGTCATCATCAAATAACTAATGCACCAATCCTAATAATGCTTGATATACACTAAGGCTCATAGGGTCAAGAGAAACAAAACCATTGGTGAAACCATAGTCATAAATGGCCACTCAGAATACCTTTTGTTTTTCTGCTCACCATGTGATTTGTAGCCAGAGCTCATAAGTTTTGATGGTTTACAAGTTTGAGTTACTTTAATATCAGTTGCTTCATCATATAGAATTGGATTCATTAGCATTGATTTTATCATGGATTTGTTTATGATAGGCATTCAACACTCTCATCTTAACCTTCGGGAATCTCTTTATTCAAGGGTTTCGTATGGGTTTTTTCTACTGGGTGGTTAATAAAATTCAGGCTTCTTTGCTACTTAAAATTTTTTAGCTCGATGCAAGTGCAACTATATATTTTCCAAGAGAAGTCTTCTCCCTATATTACCGTAAGGCATAGATTTCTTTACTTGATTTCTTATCTTATTATATATTATCTTCAAAATTTCTGATTGATTTTGTACGTGTCAATGACTTTTAATCAATACGGTTACAACTAATTTTTTTTATGGTTGTGTGAATATTGATTAAGTTGCAGTTTTTTGCATATTCAATATTTTGTTTTATTTCTATTTCAATGATCGTTAAATTTGAGTAAATTCTACATAATTTTTACTGGCATCAAAAGTGAATGTTAATTTATAATCTTTAAATAGAAGTTCATTGAGTTTCATTTATCGCATTACTAAATTGCATAAATCCTAAACTTAAGACGTACTACATCACCAAGCTTGAAAACCTGAACATGATTTTAATACACGGGTAATGTTCAAAATTGGCATGAGATCAACAAGAAAAAAAAAACAAACTTGAACATAATAAAACTAGAATAGACTCTGACTCATAATAACAAACTTGAACAAATAAACTTGATCAACTACTTGTCTGCCTGCCTCTAACAGTAATGTCATGATCTTATCTCTTTCAAAGGATCTTTTTTCTATTCAATAAAGTAGTGAGGAACTTGGTTCCCCAAATATAAAGAACATGCTTGTTACTATGCTATGAGTTACTAGACAAGTATCTGGATAAAGGAACCATCTTTTCAATTTAAAAAAAATAAAATAAAATAAAATAGAAGAGTGGAAGCAGGAGGCTACCTTTTACCATGGAAGATGGCTTGATGCCCATCTAAAAGAATAATCTAACACCAAAATTAAAGTTTTTATTGTACCAATGGAGAACTTGTCTTGCCCATAAGATGTAATTATTTGTAATTATTTCTCATCACTAAAATAAGAACTATCACTGTCATAAACGTCTTCACCATCTTCATCAAGATCCTGAATTTAAGTCGAGCATTATGCTTAGCACAGACACAAATAAGAGCAAGCATTAGTGTGATTAAAGACAATATAACTCACCTCACAGACTGACAAATCAAGACAAGAATCAATATGTTGGACATAGGTTGCAGAAGTTCCGTCAGTGCTATCACTAATAACACTATCATATTCTTCTTCAAAATCTTCACTTTCCACCTGAAAATTATTTTCTGCAAGGTTATTGCCAATTTAACTCAATTTACAACAAAGTTACTAGAATAAAATACCTCAGTGAGATCCGAATCATGATCGGATTGAATATTTGTTGAACTAATGGATGAGCTCTTGTCAACTTCCAAATAACCCTGTCAAATCATGCACAAATAAGAATTTGATAAGTAATATACTCAGTTATCTCAATGACTGAGTTAGAGTTCTGAACTTCTCTCTAACAAGTGAAGCAACCAAACCTGGATATTTCAGTGCATGAAAAACATATAAAAACAAGGCATAAGTTACAAGTATAACGCATGTGTTACGAGTGGACCGGTCCCCACTGGACCGGTCCGATGCTATGCCAGGCGGAAACAGGGAAAGGGGCGGAACCCCCCTGTGGACCCCACGCTTGCTTAAATTGAATTTGAGAGGGAGACTTTTGAATGAGGGGCTGTTTTAGGAAGTCAATTATTGTCCTTTATGATTAATTTGTATAATTAGGAGATTGGGGGGGAATTAGCTCCTCATCTTGAATTTGAGTTTTCTCTTTGAGATCTAGGGTTTGTTTTGGGCTCTTGGTGTTGCCGGAGATAGTGGAGAGTTTTTCCTTCCTCTCGAATTGAAGGAAAATTGTATCTTTCTTGTTGTTTGCACCTACTAGTGGAATGCAAGTGTTTGCAATTGTTATCCTACGTTTTCTCTCATGTTTCTCTCATATTTTCCATTGTTTGGGCTGATTTCCTGCTGTGGACAGCAGTTTTCTTTGACTAGGGTTGCTTGCGAACTCAAGTATTACCTTAGGGTTACTTGCGAACTCAAGTATTTCCTATCAGAATACTAGCATTTCCTATCAGCATGCACACCATTTTATCGTATGGAGAGGAAGCAAAGATTTTCCTCATTGATTTGCTTAAAAAGAGTTGGTCTTTGAGTTTCCAATATTAACAAAGATTATTAACCTTCATGAGCCCCACTGAAACTAGCTAGGAGTTGAAATAATGAGCAAGTTCAAAAAAAATCATATAACAATAGCACAAAAAATGGGATAAATCTTTTTATTCAATTCCCATAAAAGTTTAATAATTTTGATTTTCAAATGACAAATCTTCAATAAGACTATTGGCTTCATTACTTGTATGCTAGTAATTTTTTCGTTCATTGCTTGATGCTAGTAATCTTCACTCCTTTAAAGATATGCATGCAAGATTAAAGATATGTATGCAGGAGCTATTACTTGTGTTCAAATACAAGGTGGTTTGACCAAGTCTTTTCCTATTTCGGTTGGATTACATCAAGTACATGGATCTATCTCTATATAATCTGGTAAAGATGAGCCATCATTAGTTTAAGTCCTATAAAAAACAACATTTTGCAACTAAGATGTGCTTACAAATATTACACACATAACAAAATGCATAAATCAGTTTAAGCTGATTATAAAAGTGTTTATTTAAGCAAAACTTAAAACATACCAGATCTAACTTCATCCGCTTAATGGTTTCCTCCAGCTCAATTATATGTTGGCTCAATGCCTGAAAGTTATTTAAAGTATAATGTATGTTAGCATCCAACGGGAAATAACTAATATCAGTTAGACGAGAGTATGGTGAAGATTAAAGAACCTCATGGCGTTGCATTGCAACTGAACGTTTTAGGGCTTTTGCTTTTGTTAGCAGATTTCTTGGCCTCAAGCAAATAGGCCTCCGGTAGTTCTTTCCTCGATAGTAGACAATTGCAAACCCCTTTGGAACTCTTTCAATGGCCACTAGTATTCCCCCACTTTCATATTCCAAAAGTCGTGCTGTGTCTTCAACAAACGAAAGGGTTTTTTGCTTTGATATTAGCTTCACAAGCTCTCTGTGTTTCCAATGCAAGTGCATGTTCTCAATGACTCCATCAAAAACACCACGGATGCCTAGAAGAAGATAAATTGCAGAAAAACAATCACCTTAGAAGTTGGGATCATGCTTTCTTTAAAACTTAAATAGGAAACATACCAAGTGGTAGATATGCCTTCATCCGTAAACCAATTCTACGAAATACAGATTTTTCTTCATTAGTTATTGTCTCCCGGTCATCTGATGGATTGATAGGAACCATAGATGCTTCGATCTTTGCCAGAAGTTTCTCAGCTCGCAACTTTTTGGCTTGGGCCTGCTCCATTTCAAACAAAAAAATGAACTTGAAGTATGCATTGACTTAAGGATATATAGTAGCCTGAACTTGAAGCAGTTCTTATATTCTGAATGGAACTACAAATCATAAACATCATTAAAAGAAAGAAATTTTTAAACGTAACTTTAAACATAAGTACTTAGGAATATTAAAGGCATAAAATAAATACTCAAATATTTAGATAAAAGGCCAAGAGAAACGACGAGGGAAAGAGGAAAAAGGTTTGTTTTTCATTTTTTTTTATAAATTGTTCTTAATTCTTTCTCCAATTATTAGAAGCATTAAATTGAATACAAAGAAAGAGATTGAAAATAAAGAGAATGAATTTTAGAAGTGAAAGAGGAAGGATTTTGAAATTTTGGAAAAATCCTCGTTGTAAGTGAATTTTCTATCATGATTGTTATTAAATTTAGTTATTAAATCACATTTTTCTTGAAAGTTTAAATTATATGAATTTAGGGATTTAAAGGTAGAGATCAAGTTGTAGGAGTTCGTTTCAACAGTCTCAACAAAGAAAGAAAGAAAAATTTTGTATGGTAATTTTATTTGGAAGAAATCAAACATTTATTGAGACATTCAAATTGAGATTTAATGTTAATTAAATCTCTATGTTATTGTAAACAGTTAAAAGGGTTTTAATAAAAGACGAATATTGAAGGAGGAGAATCAAAGTGGATAATTATAATTGAATATAAATTTTATTATTGTATTTTCATATTCTTTTGAAATGAATATTTATGAAAATAACATGTGATTACTATTATGTATAGATATTTTTATATGTTATTGTTAAATGTTTTGTTTAAATTTTAAAAATGATGTTTATTTATCTTTTGATGTTATTATGTGAAAAGATTCAAATGAATGATATAAATGTACATGTAAATGAAACATATATATGATGCTTACAGACATAAGAAAATAAGCAAAGAATGGTGAAAGAATAAAATGACTTATATGATAAATAAATGTATAAATGAACAGATGATAAAGGGAAAATGATATGCATGCAAAACTTATAGTAGTTCACCACCGTATGGTACAGGCTGGGGAAGCAACGTACCCGTGCACGTAAAAAGAAAAAGGTTATAAAAAAGAATAATGAAATGAAAATGGTTGTACCTTTGGTACATTTAGACGGTGCTCCTGTACAAAATAAATAGGAAAAGGAATGCATATTGAAGTAAATGTTATAAATAAAAATGTAGTATATATATAAATGAATGAATGTATGAAGGGAAAATGATATGTATAAAGGAATGAATGTTATCAAATGAACTAAAGAAAGGAAATGTATTTCAAATGCTAAATAAATGAACATATATAAAAGGTTATATGCATTGTACGTTATACATGTTAATTGTTTTAATAGTTACTCACTGAGTTTACTTTGTAAACTCATTCCATTAAATAAAATTTTCAAGAAAATTCCAAAGTTTTAGAAATGGCCGAAAGGGAAGAGTTCGTTTATAGAAGACAGCGTGCAAATGATAACAGGTAATTTGTGATTTAATACAAATGATTAATATACGAAGAAATTTTGAAATAGTGGCCCTTCGGTAAACTTGAGAAAGTTTTACATTGTATTATTTATAAATTATACTGGTTTGATTCTACCATCCAACTTCAGTTCCCGCATTGTTAAATCGAGCATCCGGGTCAGGTAGTGACACCGACTGTCGATTCCGTTTATTGGAGCCTCATCTCTTTAAAATTGTAAGAGAAAGGGAGACGAAGAAGGACCGAGAGAGATAGCGAAGGAGATCGAAGCAAGAGATGTTCGAGTGAGTCGACTGAGGAGAAGAAGATAAGCATGCATTCTCATGCGTGAATGGTGCAGTGTGCGTGAATGGTGCAGCGTGTGTGAATGAGAAAAATATTAAATTTTCTATTTTAAGGTTTTAAATCTAGAAAATATACTAAGTTAAAATTTAAAGGTGATTTAAAACAAAGGAGCCTTTTTAAATTGTGATTTTACGGATGTATTTTAGATAAAAATGATAAAGAAAATTATATTACAAAATAAATCTAATTCGATTATAAATTTTTCATCCATTTTAAAATGATGACTAGAATATATATATGTATATATATATATATATATAGAGAGAGAGAGAGAGAGAGAGAGAGAAAATTGTGAGCTATTTATCATTAAAAATTTTAATGATGAAAAGGTCTTTATCTAGGTGTCTAAATATTGATTTTGAAGTAAGTAATAAGAGTGAATTATATGTATATATTTAATTCTAGGTGAATGCCTATATTTATATTGTATGGTAATAATGTTATGTCCTCTAAACCAATTTCATTGAATCCATTTATTTATTTGATTAATTGTTGTTGAAAATGTCGTGAATGATTTATCTTTTATATTTCAATGAATGACCATATCAAAATAATTGATAGCAGCATGATATTTCATCACATATATTTAATAAAGTTATTGAATGATATATAATTGAAATGACTAGACATAAATGCATGTACATGTTAACTTGATGAAGTACACCTCCTTATGGTATTGGTTGGGAAAACAATGTACCCGCGCACATCAAACGAAAAATGTTTTGAAAAAAGAAATAGAAATAAAACTATAGAAGTACTTTAATTGGTATTATTTAGACGGCATCTTCTACGACAATTGTATTATTTAGACGGTATCTTCTAGAAATTTTGAAGATAAATTTTACATATTGTGATTTGAAAGACCATATTATATGGATTTAAGTGTTCAACAATAAATCATGATAATTGAGTTAAGTACGCTAGGATTGAGAATATTTACAATGAACATGCAACAAACTAGAAATGATTATGTAAGAAGAACTATATGAATATTAATTATTGAGGATAAGGAAAGGAAAAAATAGACCTAGATGATTTGGGCTTGTAAAATGGAGGATAAAAGATGCATCAATATGAAGGTTTAAAAAAACTAAAAAGGAAGGATTGGAAAGGAAAAAGGATTGCTAAAGGTAACAATGATAGAAATTGTACAAAAATATTTAAGCAAAATGCATTTAACACATCTACTAATGCTAATGCTCACAGGAATGTATGAAAATAAGGATCATAGTCGATCACATATTACCTGATGTTGCTTTTTTGTCCGCCCCAAAGTTCACAGACTTATGAAGCAGGTAAGGATCAAACCCAAGATCTAGATACATCTTCCAAAGAAGCCCTTACCAATCAAACTAACTAGATGACGCCCACAATCTCATGTAAATTGGATAAGCTAATGAAGATAATTGTGCTTTGATAATAACACCCCCCCCCACCACCACCACCACCAACTCCCAACACCACCCAAAGAGGATTTTTTATAAATTTTCAATAAAAATATTGTGCTTTGCTAGGATTTCACTTGTAAATTGATAGTACCAATACACGCATTATTGTTTTCCATAAAACACATAATCAATAATGCAATTGGATGGGTTACACTTCTAGAAATATGATGGTAGGCAAAACCCTTCATCACTTGCTCATGTACATATTTTCTGATGGGGAAGGTTGGACATCTGATATGCAGGTTTCCAAGTGGAATATTAGGGAGGGTGATTTCTGATTGCCAGTTAAAAAGTACTTTTTGGCCTGTTATGTGAGAACAAATGAATTTTAACACACGCAGACGATTTTTGTTTTTGAGGAAAATTAGGGTCAAGCATGCCCACGTGCAGAGGATTCAATTCCACTTGAGTGAACGCCTAGGAAACAGGCAAGGGAAATACTCTTCCATTGAAAAGATATATAATGACTAGCATACCTGACTCAAAAATTTGATGCAAAGAACTTTTGTCACTGCACGCAAACATATAGCAAGAAAAGAAAATTTTGTCATTTGGAAGAAATTGTGCTAGCCTATATGGCACAATCGTCTAGAACATCATTATGAAGACAATGTACATTTCAATCTATCACATAGATATGGTCCACTATGAGTTGAGGAATGGCACAAAACAGTGAAGATATAAAAAGACAAGTAAACATAGGAGAAACATTTGAAGGGGAGGGATAGTGCAATAACATTGCTTTTCATTGGGCCACAAGTGTATCTAATTGTCATGTGGCATTGACTTGCCTTATATGGATATTAGGACTGATGATGCAGCATGTTGATGCATTACTAAGTATCCGGGTCATCATCATTTCGGGTGATACAACAAAGAATTTTATTTTATTTTTTTGACATGTATAATTGTATCTTGTTTTGTATTTTGTATTTTTAATGCATAGAGTACCATCATGTTAGAAGTTTCTGATTTTCTTAATTCATGCACTTTTTCTTTATTGGATGCTTGTTACATACCAATTTCGGCTATAAATGGCATATTTCTCTCGTATATTCCATGCCAAATTCAAGTTAATCAATAAACCTTGATTATAGTCTAAAAAAGTAATTAGTAAAAAAGTATAATCAAAGTATTATAGTTAAATACTAATTAGCCAAATTACATCGTACAATCCCTAGCTATCTCTGGTTAACATCCTAATTATTAATCAATAACTTGTTACTTAGGTCAAATCTAATAATAATTTAATCTAACTAAAATGTAAACAATCCTTAATTGGCCCAATTGAACCTTAAGTAATACCTAGATAATCTAATTAATATATTCTTATAATTACTGAAAAATCACATTCACATACCATCAACCCATTACTCCCTTGACTGTGAAATACATTTGAAAAATTAACTTGAATAACAGTTAATCACTACCAAGTAGTTTTGCAGTTTAAACATCACAAGAATTTATCAAATCTGGATTTAGAAAATATCACTTGCACCTAAACAAGTAAAATGAAAATTTAGCTTATAGGCAACATAGCATCACCGGTCTAGTTAAAAACCATGAAGTCAAAGCCATCAAAGTCACAAATATCAAAATGAAAATCATACCGAAGTTCATAATGAAGATAAATACGAAGGAATAAGATGATAGAAAAAAAAATTATGGCACCCATTCTTCCAAAATAAGAGTCAGGTAACATCATGGATTAGGACAACTTACAATATAAAGTTTATGTTCAATCTTCTTGAACATTCGAGCTGCTTTAAATCTGGAAGCTTCTTGTTTCATTGCATCACGCTCACCAGCAGTTATAACGTTTCCCCATTGCGCCTGAGCCTCCTGGAATTCAGCTAGAGTGCCAGCAAGGGCATGTCCTTCAAGTCTGTTCTCAACGCAGGATTGCCGTGCTATGCTATTGCGTGAATTCTCTTCTACTTCTTGAATATCTTTTGTTATTTGCTGCCTTTCAGCCAAAGCAATTTCCACTGAAGCAGGGAGAAAATCCTTTCCACGATAGATGACAATGAAATATTTGTTCCGAAGAAGTAACACACCTCCAGTAAGATTCTGACAGAAGAGAAATATTTTTACATTCAACAGAAATCAAGACAATAACACGCTACAACAAAAATCTAACAAGAGTTGTCGCCTTTGTATGCTCCACCAAGCAAGTGCTATGTAGTGACTAGAAACTTAATCAACCCTATTTGCACTTAAAATATTTTTCAAAAAGTTTAGTGAACCATTGACCATTTTCAAATGGTAGACATTAAATATCCAAAGAACCAAGGAAAATTAATCAGTTGAAATGCCCAAATTGTGAAAAATTATTGTGCGAACCCTTGGGTTGCCTAAATTTTGAAAAAATACACCCCCGAGTTGGCATATCCTTCATTGCACTAGGTCAGAAAATTCCAGTCCAGCCCACAATTCTTAATCGCACATGAATCAACAAACAACAAAGAATGATTCTATTGGATAAAATTCATCTTGCTCTAGCACAACATTCGTCACTTTTAAAGAAAGCACCATCTTCAAGAAAAAGTACAATCTTTAGGATTTAGCTTCAATTTTCATGTATGGATCTCATCCATTTCAACTCTTTTTTCAAAACTGGTACTGCAAATAAGGCATAGTTTTCTTAAATCATTTTATGCTTACATATAAAAGCCTGATTCTGCCAAATTCCACTCTTGCCATCCTTTATAATTAAAAGAGACAAAAGGCCAAGTAAAATGCATTCACATAACGCCATCATGACCTAATAATATGGAAAAAGTAAGACAATTTTGGAAACGAAATTTATCTACACAAAATACTTAGCTACATGAATTGATAAAGCTTAAAGATATTCTTCAGCTAGATCCCTCTTGAGTCGAAGATGCATTGAGTAAGCTAAGTTCTCATCGAGCTGTATGATACTAGACCTAACAAAATAGCAAGTAAAAAAATTGGTGTTTGAATCAGAGTACCTTTGTACGCCACTACCAGGCCACCAAGAAAGAACGTTTCTAGACCAGTGTCAAGCATCCGAAACTTTATCTTTATGATACGAAGCATACTGATAGACCGGTCCAAATATGATTAGTCAATTATTACCAGAGGCAGAACAAGCAGGTTCTGCCCCCCATGCATACCACCCTTTATTGTGGAGCCTAGGGCTGCAAATGAACCGAGCGTTCGATGAGCTACTCGTGGCTCGGCTCAATAAGAGCTCGTATATGTTCGTTTGATAAGGTAAATGAACAAGCTTGAACAACTTTGACAATACTCAATAGCTAAATAAACAATCTTGAACAACCTAACATTCAGCTCGTTTATGTTCACGAACAACATCATTTAGAATTCATGAATATACTCGTTAAGATGCTCGATTATACCTTATTTAATTAAAAATAAATACTATATCTTATTTAACTAAAAAAATAATTAAATCTAACGTTATATATATATATATATATATATATATATATTACGTTTTCACATATATATTTAACTTATCTCGCCTCTCTCTCCTCGTTTTCATGTTTTTTATCCTCCCGCCCACTGCTTCTCGCTCTCCTTGGTGACCATAGGGAAAAAAAATGCTGAAGGGCGTTTAGTCCCACACCGCCTGGAAAAAGATAATGTTGCTTTATAAAAAAAAATACATGTGATGGTTGGTTGTTGAACAGTGGGCAGCGGTGAGACTCGGTGGGGCGGTTCGGGTTAAATTGCATTATGAGCGGGCTCGGCTTGGCTCGTTTTGTTAAATGAGCTGGCTTAATAAGCTTGAAATTGAACGAGCTCAAACTAAACACGAGTCGAGCTCGAACATGCTCGTTTGAGACGAGCTCGAACTCGAACAGCGGTCCAAGAAGCTCGATAAGCTTTGAGCTGAGCTTGAGCACCGTTTTGACAAACGAGCTTGAACACGAACAGGCTGAAGCTCGGCTCGGCTCGGTTCGTTTTCAGCCCGGGTGGAGCCCACTAGATTAATTAGGAGAATATTAAGGAGGTTTTAGGAGGGAAATTCAAAAAAGAAAGGGCTGTTTTGGGATTTAACTAATTGTTGTATGCTTAAGTATGTTTTGGGGGGCAAGGGTTACCTTTTTATGTGTTTTCTTCCTGCTGTTTGCTGTTTTTGTGTTCTTGTGTGGGCTCTAACGGCGTCAAGAAATATGGGAGAGAAGGATCTTCCTCTCCAATAGAAGATCAATTGTATCTTGCTGGCTTTCTTCATCTACTACAATCAAAAGGTCAATTTCTGGTTTTTTCTTCCAAGTTCTTTGCAATTTCTATTTGTCCGCAATTTCTGAAATTAATTCCAGCAAGGAATTTTCCTGATTTTCTACGAGCGTGTCCTAACACATATCATATGAAATACCATATCTCAGATATCGAAATCCCAATTCTTCATAAATAAAAGTTGGTGCTTTGCTGGATACATCTATGACAATGAATGAAAGTCTTAAACAAAGAAATAATCTTCATTCGATTTTATTGGTAACTTCAATGGGCATAATGATTAAGTACAAAAAGAATTGATTTGATTAGCATTCAGCAGATAAGGTGTATACATGATGGAGCAATGACAAGCATTAGAAATAATTTTTGATTGTAACACAAGTTTCTGAAAGAAATTGAGATGCATTAAATGTCAAAAAAAAGTGGGTCTTTTCACATTGATAGGCGATGCTTAAATTATATATTCAAAGTGATATATTTTATTATGTGCTATTTTCAGATGACACAAATTGGACACATGGGTCAATTTTTACTAACCTTTTAAAGTTAGTAAAAAATTAGAAATAGGAAAAATTTTAGGAAATGATTTGGAAATAAATTTAGAAGATTAAAAACTTAGTATTAATAGAATAAATATCATATATATGATATGCAATTATAGCAAATGTAAAGCTGATAACTATTATACAATAATATTAAATGGATAAATGAACAGGAATATACAATAGCACATAACTTCTATAATTAAGGGTTGATGGTTAAAATGAGTGTCTCAAGTATACAGTGCAATAAAAGAATATCATGGAGATCAAATTTTAATTCTATAAAAATGCAATTACACTGTGAATAATTGGAAAATAATGATTAGCAAATAAGTCATTAACAACTAAATTAAGTAGAAGAAATGAAAAGGAGTAGCATCTATTAAGAGAAAATTAAATTATGGTTTAGACATGTCCAACAAAGAGAAAAACATTCAATAATTAGGCAATGAAATAGAATTTGCATCTTAGGAATAGGAAAAAAAAGAGGCCGGAACAAAAGTAATATGACTAGAATTTATGCAAAAAAACTTGTGTTCCAAAGTAATGTAAGAAAAAGAACTCATAATGTTGACCCCAAACCAACAGGATTTCGATGAGTATAATCACAATGCTAATATCATGTGTTTTCAAATAGTATAAACTTTAGGTTTCCACTATCCATTATCACCTTTTTGTTTCTACGCATACTCTACAAACTGTTTACATATGCATGCATGTGATATGCATATACAAGTATGAATAAGTGAATTTGATAAATTTAGTATTTTTCACGTGATTGGCTTTTAGTTTAGTAAATTAATGGGTGTATTAACATACCAAAAACTTTGTAGATATCTATTTATGGGCTCACATGTGCATGCATGGTTTAAAATTACGCAATATGAGGCTCGCCTTGAGGCCCGCCTTTGCGCAATTCCAGTAAAAAACGCCTCGATGCTTAC